GTGATTTCGGAGCAACTGGATCTTTATCAGGACTCTTAAGGATTGTAACAAGTTTACCTTGCTTCCATTTTGTAGTAGATAATAGGTTTGTTCCCACAGCGATCAGAAACAAGTCACTGACGTCGTGATTCTGCGCAGTACATAATTCGCGTTCCCACAAAGATTTCTTACAGTTTGCAAACGTGTTGTACACTGTTCCAACCATAGACATCATATTATCTAAGATAGACTCGCCCTACACACTGTATACCCAATACACCTTCTGTCCGCATGTTTTACCAGACGGGGAAAGGGGAATCGTACGTCGCACATTGACGTAGTGTTTCGGGAGGGTTTACATATATTTTTAGTAAAAATTATTTAATGACCAAATCAATAACCTATGGGTCTTCGGAATCAAAGGTAAATTTAAAGAAAACATTCAATTTATACAGGGCATTCAAAAAGTCATTTTATATATTTTCTTATAGATTAAAATAGTAGGTAGCTCAAAGTGGAAGAACATTTTTGTTAGTATTTTATTATATATTTTTTTTTAAATACATGAAGAGCAAAGAGCAAGTAAAAATATAAAGCCATTTATTATTATTTTTACATGGGTACTGTTTGAAAACCTTTTCTACAGGTTGAAAAAAGAATAATTATATTGCCGGAATACCTTTTTTATGAAATAAAAAGCTATTAACAACAAAACAATTTTATTTCAGATACATAAATATACAAATATGATCTTTCTATTACATATCATTTGGATTGCATGTCACGACACCTATTTTTAGAATTATTTGTGTAATGATATAATAACTCATTTAGGACAGTAATCAGCAATGATTTTATAATATCTGGACAAGGCTAAAACACATTAGCTTAAGATTATCAAGAGATAGGTACTTATTTCTAATTTGTCCGAATAGAAAAAACACTAAAGGAAGCTTCTTTTGTGACATTTCGAATGTCATTTTACTATCAATGATTACTCTTACAAACACTCTTGGTGAAGAATCTGCTCAATAGATTTATTTAGTGTTATAAGATAACTGATATTTTGTAAAGCATATTTTGGAATAAAAGACAAAATAGCTATTTGTGTATTAAGAACAGAAAGTAGCACCTTTGACAGTTGAGACAGAAAGTCTGTCGAAGAGAAAAGATTTATTTTATATTTATTCAAAAAGGAAGAAAAATACAATATCAAAACTGTTATCTCAGTTATGTAATCATCATTTTCAGTATTTGTGTTTTTCCAACTTATCATAGCAACTGACCATTATTTTGTTATTGAGATGAAAAACCGTACGAGTCGCAGATATGTACGGTTTTTCACCTAATTTCACGGGTATAATCAGCTGTACTACATTAACAGCTAGGTATCTAGTACGGTTTTTAAGCTCAATCGATGAAGAGACAAATTTTAAACGAAATGGCTTATTTTTAAATGTCAAATTTGAGACTTGTACGGTTTTCGAACTCACTGGTTCAATTGCAGAACACTGTTTGCAGTGAATCTTTTTCTTTAAGGATTTTGCTATAAAACCAGAAATATAAGCAACTACATCCTGAATGTATTCGCTCAGAAAATATATAGATAGGTAATCATGGTCACGAAGCTCATTTGTAAATTCCAAATTTTCTTTAGTGTCTGATTCGTAACAAATTTAACGCAATTTGACTACTAGTGTTGCTACAATCCAAGATGCTGGTGCTATCTAAAGCAACTGCATTGGCAGTTTTATTTGACTTCACTTCATTATCAATTAATAATTTTTTATAACAATTTTGAAACAATCTCTATGTGAGATTGTTATTGAAGCATCTGTTACGAACTGCACTAAAAAAGGATTTTTTTCTTCTTCATTTTTCGCCTCTTCAACTACCTCTTCCAAAATTCTGCAAAATGTGATGATTACTGTATAATTTTAGAGCTTACATATAATAAAAATACCCATAATAAATACTGTACTTACTTGATAGGTATAGCATTATGTTTTAAGATGTGTCTACCACTTAAATTTTCATAAATATCTGCCATACAAAAATGGTCAGAACATATACTAAGGCTTCTTTCATTTTCATAATGGTTTCCTCCACCAAGGATAGATTTTGCAGCCAAATTCCACGTTGAATAATTTCTCTAGGAAATCTGATCAGAAAATATAAAACATTATTATTTAAATAAACAATGCTAGTGCTAAATGCCTTTACACTGTTAAATAAATTAAGCCTTATTCCCTGTATATGCCTACGTCTATGCTAACATAATCTTATTTATGAAATGACCGAATAACATTCTTATTCTGCGTATTTCGGCACACTATACATTTCCTTCCCATCGTAAAAGTCCATAATAAAAAGTTCAGGGTTTAAATTATTCTTGAAAACTACAAAAAACCACAAAAATCACAATAAAACTTGATCTGTCACTTTGACAACATCAACAAAATGTCTTAGGTTGCCAAAGTTAAATGATTTATACCAAAATGTTTAATATTCCCATGTGATACACATGTAGAAATAGCTACTTAAAAGTCTTAAGTGATTGCAATTAATAAAAAACTTATATTGATGCTTTCAATTCTTTATTTCCTTTTTTTATTAGATTGTATTAAAGGTAATAGTAACTTTTTAAATAAAAATTTAATGTTTGATATTTGATGAAAGAGATCTGACAACATAGGAAGAGCGTACCGTCAAAAAAAAGTTGCGGACAAGTGTAATGTATACAAGGCGTATCTATTATCCGATATCTTTGGTTCCAACAGATGTCCCTGATGGTTTGCTGACTATCAGAGCGGTTTGCGGATTATCCGCAAGTGAATTATCCGAGCATGCGCATTTCATACCTAATCAAGCTTTCTATGTTCTGTGGATATTTATTCCTGTCATCTGTCATTCGTCATCGTTTGTCGTTTGAGTTTTGAGTTTGTTTGCCTAACCTAAATTATATTATTATTGTTTTTTATTTAAAGTTTTTCGTGTGTTTCTTAGATTAAGTATTGTTTTGTAGTTCTGTGTTTTCCTAAATTAACTTTTGTTATACATATACATTATAATAATTAATAGTTTTTTTAAAAAAGCTTAATTATGAGTGACTTTTCATCATCTGAGGAATCAGAAATGTCAGAGTTATCTTCCTCCGATTCGGATTTAGAAGATGTATTAGAAGAAAGAGTAAAGCCAAAAAATAAAAATTTCTTTGAAGAGACAGTCCCACAATTTACTAACACTGAATTTATAGAACACTTCAGAGTAAGCAAACAAGTGGGAAATAATATTGCAAATCGGTTTGAGGATAGTCAATATTTCAAAGCACAGTCTGGTCCTCATGGAAAGTTAAGTGCTCAAAAACATATGTTTGTCTTTTTATGGTTCGCAGGACATCAAACTTCCAGTTTCCGTGATGTTGCTGATAGGTTTGACATATCTATCAGTTGCCTACATAGAGTTCTAATCAGAGTGATTTACTTTCTAAGTAATTTAGCACCAGAAGTAATAAAGTGGCCGAGTAGAGAGGAACGAGTTGAGAGCCAGGCTAATTTTTATTTGCGGAATCAATTTCCAGGAATTGTAGGTGCAGTAGATGGAACGCACATAAAAATTGACAAGCCAATAGATGATCCAGAATCATATATAAATAGAAAAGGATTTTATTCAATTCAGGTAGGTGAAAACAGTATAAAATTTATAATATCCTAAATGTAAATTAAATAAATATTAAAAATGTTCATCATGAGCTAGAATGTTTAGAATGCAACATTTGCTCATCAGTATATTCAGTTGAAAATAACAGCAGTTACAGATTATTTTTAAATTTTAGACAAAAAATATTGATAACGATTAATTAATTTTACTAGTGTATTCTTAATTCTTTGATTTAAAAACGTTAGAATATACCTAAAACATTGTACAATATTCGTGCATTTTAGGGTTTACATGCGTTCACAGATAACTTAACTCACTCAAACAATATTATCATATAATTTAATATTTAAAACTTTATATTAATAACATTGCTTTGTTACAGACTCAAATTGTATGTGACCATCAGATGAGGATTACTGACCTATTCACTGGTTATCCAGGATCAGTTCATGATGCCAGAGTTTTTAGAACATCACCTTTATGCGATTCACTGCAAAATAAGTGCGAACAATACCACATAATTGGTGATAGTGCGTACCCTTTGTTACCTAATTTATTGACTCCATTTAAAGACAGAGGGATGCTAACTAGAAATCAATTGAATTATAATACAAAACTGTCCAGCAATCGAATGGTAATAGAACATTGCAATGGCTTATTGAAGCAAAAATGGAGACAATTGTACCATATAAAATTTCGCAACATTAGGACAATTGTTAATTTCATAAGAGCTTGCTGTGTGTTACATAATCTTTCAATAAACGATCATTTTGAATTGATTCATGAAGAATTGGAGGACATTGATGAAGGACCAGTCATGTATGAAGAAATCAATCAAAATGCTACACACAAAAGGAACCATATTGTAAATGTCTTAGAATAATGGGTTATTTGATGTTATTTATATTAGAGGTGTAAATAAATAATTACATAGTTGAAAAATTTTTATTTCATATGTACAAAAAAATCATGAAATCTAAAAGTTTTAAAGGAAATAACGTTTTAAATAAATAAAATCTAAAAACAAAAAAACCTATAATGTACAGGAACAGTCTTTAGTCATCACAAGTTTTAAATATAAAAAATCCTTTGTGGATCCTTCCAAAAAAATCTACAGAAAATAAGTAATAAAGTATAATACCAATTTAACTACTGGCATAATAAAAAATAATACAGAATAAATAAAAAATAGTATAAAAAATCCAAAATGTGTAAATAAACTGTGTACCTGCGTACTTTAAAGAAAAATGTTAAATATAAACCTAATTAAAAATCACATATGAAAAAACAGCCCAATGCCCATATAAAAAAAACAGTAAGAAATCAATCTTGACCTAATATAAAAAATAATATCAAAATAAAATTAATCTTCTTAAAAATATAAAAACACCCGAAAACAACCCAACAGCAAAGAATAACACACATATAAAAATAATCTTAATCTGATATAAAAAAAAACAACATAATAAACTTGACTCGTCTTAAAAATAATAATAAAAACACACAAAAACAACCTAATAAATAAAATATTCACTCTTTTGAGCAACAACATTTTTTATTTTTTAAAATGTTGTTTTTTTCTCTAATTAAAGTGTTTCGTTCTCTTAATATTAAAACTTTGTCTTTTTGGGATTCCAATTTTTCTTTTTCAATTTTCAAACGTTCTGCATGATATTCATGTTTATCTTTCCTCATCAACTCCAGCGTTTCATTTCTATTTATGATTGGATTTCTTTTCCTCTTTGATGTCGTAGAAGGTCTTGGAACCCTAACATTTTCTTGTTTTCTCTCTACTTCAACCTGAACTTCACTATCTTCATTCAAAACTTGAATTTCTTCTGAAGGAGGCTCATTTGACAGTAAAATAGGGGGATCTACATTTCGTCTCCCTCTGAAAATATCGTTCATCTCTTCTAGATATTCAAAATACTTTCTACTTTGACCAGTCGAGTTTTGGTTGTCTAAATATTTTTTATATGCCCTTTCCAAAACTCTCCAACGATTTTCACATTGGCTTGGGCTTATTATTTTTTTTAATGTTTTAGTCACCTCAGTTGAAATAGTTTCCCAAAGCCGTTTAAAAGATTTCATTTCTCTTGTTCCAACTTTAGGTTTGTATTTTTTGTACAAATCTAAAAGTAGTTTTGTATTATTCACATTCCATGACGTTTGGGAATTAACTTCTGGTTCTGAAGTATTCAATGCATAGTTATGAACCTGTGAAGCATGACCCTGTAAAGCAGCAACTTGTTGTGAGGCTCTGGGATTGGAAAAAAGCAGGATCTGGTCTAGATCTACAAAATAATTAATATTAGATTCAAATATATATATACATTTGTTAGTAACTTACAATCTTCGCTCATTTTGAATCAAAAAAAAAATGCTTTAATCACAAATAAGAATAAAAAAAATATTAAAATTGCTATAGCACGCCAAAACAAAGGAACAGAGTAATAAAAAAGTCAAACTACCCCTTGCCCAAACCCCAGCCTTGATAAAAACCACATAACACTTGTAAAAACTTACAAACAAATTTTAACCCTAGCCTAAATAAAAACGTAGAATTTATGCAACCATTTATACATTTTGTCAGATGTTCCAACAATATTTCTGATCAATCATAAACATGCTGGAAACACAAGATGCGCGCGAATTCTGGTTTGACAGCTATCAGAAACATATCTCTGATTTGTTGTGGGAACAAACCTATAACCTTAGTCTGAAGCATGCTTGGTACAGCCGTGTTATGTTTCTCTTGATGTATGGATATGCAAGTAGGATAATCTTACCATGAACTCCGTCGCCGCCTAGGGCTTTGTACAGAGTTATGCTTATAACCGCGGTGTCTACCGTGTCTTCAGTAATGGCCACTTCAAAATTTTCATCGCCATGTGCTTGAGAAGCTTGATCGGCCTACTTTGCTTTTTCTGTCATTTATATTGTTGCTCCACCAAAGCGTGAGTCTACTTTCGCCTTTGGAGTCTCTGCAACTGTGTTCCGTTATCTCTAATATACTTACTATCTCTCAGGGTTTCGTTGTATTTATCGATGCAAGAAATATTAAAAAGGGAGATGTTGCTTAGCTCCTCGTTTACTCTAGTAGCCGATTCTGCTAGTCTCTCTAGATGAACGTTTCTAATGTTATATCCTCTATGTATTTCAACATCTTGGTCGGTTTCCTCTATCTTGATTAAAATTGGCCTATGATTGCTGGAGTTTCCTCCTTCTATTACCTTCCAAGTGGTTAGTTTGTTCAAGAGCTGGTCTTATATAGCATTGAGATCGATATTTTCTTCTCCATTTGCTGTAGAAAACGTATAGAGTTCACCTGCTTTATTAGCAGTGTATAGATTTGACGCACTTAGGAGTTCTTCATGTGTGTAATTAGATTTTCGGGACCTTGGTCCCATGTTATATATACGTTTGTGATTAACAATTTGATATTTCTCATTTTTAAAAAGCAGACATTTATGTAGATATTAGATAGTTGGGCGATGTATAGCAGATCGATGTCTTTCCCTGTTATCAGAGTTGCGGTTTGTGGCGATTCGTAAGCGACATGTGCACACATTGGAAGGATGTAGGCTTGGTATTTTTCTTATTCCATCTTGTGTATATGTGTATGGTTCCTGCAGACAGTATTTTATCACCGTGTTCTTCGGCTAGAGGCCTGTTTTTGATTGTGGCTGTCCGTGATTTTTGTATATTTGCCTGCATTATCATTTCTGGGACTTTAATTACCATATCGGGTCGGTAGTGTAGCGGTCTAACGCGCTTATATTCATTTATAGGCAAGTTTATGAGTCTGAGACTGCTGGGCTTCGATTCCCAGACCAGACCATGTGGATTTTTAATTAAATTGCATGGTTCGGTTTAGGATTTGATGTGTGCCATATTAATAGAAATTCAATTTCTGTTGATATGACATGCAGATTAAAAAATCGCCATGCATTACCGTCTCGATGATGGTGGGTGAGGTTTTCCGGGTTTTCCTCACCTGTAAGTCAAATGACACCATCAATCATCTTTAAGTCGCCCCGGAGCGCCATGGCAAATAATAATAATAGTCGTCCCTTCCCCTACACAAATCGTTCAGTCGACTTCAGGGGTTGAAATTCACTCGTAAGGGAGTGAATTAGGGAGAGTATTATTATTATTATTATTATAGTCTGCTAAGGTAAGTATTGAAGTCTGATGGCCTTCTAGTTAAAGTAGAGCATTTTAGAGATCTTGTTTCGTGGGCTATCTCTCTCATGTTGATACATTTGGGCGTTTCTTGTAACTTTCGGCAGCTTCTTGTTTCGTGCTTATCCCCACAATGTTCACATGGCACTTCACTCCTGCAATATTTTTACAGGTGTCTAAATTTTTGGCATTTAAAGATCTCAGAACCATAATATGGTCGCGAATTATGCAAGAGGACCATCCTAGATATACCGGGTGTTCAAATTAAAGTGTTACAGTTAAAAACCGCCGAAAATATGCATTTTAGAAAAAAAAGTTTCAGACAAAAGTTTTATAGTTGAAAACGTTTTGGCTGAATTAATTTTTTTACAGCTGACCATAATATGGCCATATCGAGGTGGACTTTGTTTTTTTAAATGGGAATCCCATTTTTTTCTTACATATTCTTAAAGTACATAAAAAAATAAGAAACTTTTGAGGTAAATATATTTTTTATTGGACTTTTACTTTTTGAGTAACAGCTACTTGAAAATGTTGCTGCGCGAAAAAAAAGTTGGCCATATTATGGTTAGCTATAAAAAACGATTTTAGCCAAAAGTTTTTCCCCACAAAACTATAAAACTTTCGTCTGAAACGTTTTTTTTAATAAAAAGCTGTGTATAGCTGTAACGCTTTAATTTGAACACCCGGTATATTCTTTCAAGTTTGAGGAGTTTTTTCTACTTGCGGGACTCACTTCTACTATCCAGTGGTTTTAGTGCTTTTCTCTAGGCTCGACTTTATATTTGGCCGATACTCTTATTCTGCCTCTTCGCTGTTTGGCAACATTCTTCTGAGTTCATCAACTATATCGGCTTCTTCATAATTAGAAGATGTCTAGTTTTGGATTGAGCTTCCTGACAATTGTCATCTCGAGGCATGCTTTTTTGAGAGCGTTTTTATCTATTTGCTCCATATCTAGTTCTGAGGTCGTTGTCTTGATACCCTGATCGCCATGCTTGGTTATTCTCTCAGGTTTCAGGCCAAGGGCAGTTGGTTTGAGTTTGGTCAGCATTCGTTTCTTCGTGTGTTCGCTATATTTAAGATCTCATCCGTCTGTTACTCTAGGACTAATAATTTGCATATATTTGGTTTCATAATTCTTTAACTTTGTTCCCTACAGTTGTGAATCCATCAAGGGTGAAAAGACGTTGCTCATATCTTCGATCCTGTTACATATAGTTCGGTTTTCTTGTTGACCGAGTCTTTTAACCCAACCACCGTGCCCATGACCTGTAGCCTCGCCTCTGCAACAGCGTTCAAAATTGTAATTAGACCTCGAATTAGGCAGTTGACTTGTGAGCCACCTTGCTCCCTAATTTCCTCATTTGCTTCAATCATATGGCAGATTTATCATCGGTGCTGAAGTCTCCTAACTCCGACATATCTTGTTCACTGATTCCCTACCCACTACCTGTATTTCACACTTAATTTTATTAGAGTCTTTTCTCTAAATCTTAAACTTTAACTTAGGCTAAAAGGAGTCCTGTCGCCCGTGTATTGGTACCCTTAAGCCGAGGGTACCTGACCCTCTTAGCCGTAGACTAGGCCTTACACTTGCTCGATAAATCCTATACAATGCAAGAATTGACTGCCTGCCAGTAGTTTCCACCTTCGCTACGGGGAGGCGAGGCCACCAGATTTTCGCGGAGGCGCAAACAAACTTTTGTACACTTTTTGAAATAATTTAATTGTCCTTATACTCGTACTATTATTATTAATGTTTATAGTTTATATTAATCACATGCAATTAGCACTTATGAATACTGGATGAAAACAAAACATTTATTCGCTAAGAAGAGAAGCCAAAGTAAGGCGTCCGCACTATAATTATTGCATATATCAGCAATATCAGCTTGTAGATCACAGAACACTTGTAGATCACACATTGATAAAATATTTGTATTATGTGTTGCCTAATTTACAAGTAACTGAAAGCTAGTTCCATAAAAGCCAAGGCTATTTGGAGCTATTTCGAATATTCGGAAACGACCGGTTTTAATAATTGGTAATCTTTACACCACAGGTACGAGGCCACATTAAAAATAAGAGAAGAAGAGAAGCGAAATGGCGGTTCTATTTGTGTTTTTATGTCATTTGTCGATTGACTTACGTTTTTAACGCGTTGTTTGAAGAAGAACAGTATTAAACTTGTATGGTGCTGTAAAGAATAATAATATTCATAATCGTAGATGAGGAAGCGTAAATAGAAGGTAAGTTTAACAAATACATTCCTAATTAAATAGTTATATTTTAAAATACACTTTTTAGGTTATAATGTCTTTACCTCCTTATTTATTGGGGCCCAATCCATGGGCCACAATGATGGCCCAGCAACATTTAGCGGCGGCTCATGCTCAAGCTCAGGCTGCTGCTGCTCAAGCCCATGCTCATGCATTGCAACAACAAATGCCACCTCCTCACCCTAAATCGGACATTATTACTGAAGACAAACTACAAGAAAAAGGTAAGTTAGTATAATAAATCAGATGGGGTATTAATTTAAATTATGTTGTAGCCCAAAAATGGCATCAGTTACAGTCAAAAAGGTATGCTGATAAAAGAAAGCTGGGTTTTGTAGAGGCTCAGAAAGAAGACATGCCTCCAGAACACATTAGGAAGATTATAAGAGATCATGGTGATATGAGTAGTAGAAAATACAGACATGATAAGAGAGTTTACTTAGGGTAATAAAAATATAAATATTTAACTTACCTATATTGAAAATTTAATTTTAATATGCTATTAAAATAAATTTATTACAAGCATGTTCAAGGTCTGTCCAGCATTGGATCTTTTACAGCAATACACCATATTTGTAACAGACCTAAAAAAGGTCATTCAGTTCTCTTCATGTTGTAATGTATTATTATTAGTGATAGGACTTTTCATGAAAAGTAATTTTTGGACTAGCCCGACGGTAGGGATGCGCACGATGTATCGATGTTAAAAAAACATCGATTTTTCTCTTTCGATTATCGATGTTTTTATCGATATTTTTTATGCGATGTTTTTATTTAACATCGATGTTTTTTTATCTAATATCGATGTTTTTTAATTTTACGTGATTTACCGCCCATAGATGGAGATATTTTTTTTTATTAAAAATGTTAATACTTTTATTATTATGTAGGTATTTATTTTTTTATTTTCGATTTACTGATTTAAAATTTGGCCAGGTAGCCTAATTAGAAATGTACTAATAAAAATATTATTTATCCTGAATTAGTGAATCCCGAGTAAAACAACTTATTTGTATATTCTTCATTATCGAGTCAAAGTTCTTGATTTTGATTATTTTTTCCCATTTGAATAATGATTTATTCCATCTAATAATTAATATAATTAATCGTAGAAATTAAATTGATTTATTAATTAAGCGTGTTTTTTGCAATGTTCCTATCAGAAATTTAATCTTAACATTTTTTAATAATTAAAGTTATTCAAATTTTGACTTATAAAGTGGCATCTTTTGTAATCGCAGCAAGTGTCAAAATTATCTACTAACTATATTAAGTTGAATACATTGCGAAAAGAAAACAAATAAAAATAAACCATTTTTGGTATTAAATTCAATGTTTTCGGAGAAGGAAGGTTGGTTATATAAAAATAAATTTGGTCGGTGAACTTATAATTAGTAATAGTTCTGGTTCGTTTGCTATTTTAAAAATCTAAATCCATTATTAATCTGAACAAAATAATCGAAACAAACGACAGTGACATAGTTTTATTGTAAAAAAACTAAAAATATTTATACATATCTATGCAAAATAACACATTTTCTTGAAAATTAACAAGTTTTGACAAGAAAATGAAAACTGTAATGATAAATATTTTAAAAGTATCAGATTGGTTTAAAGTTAACTATTATTTTCCAATCTTTATTTTTTAATATCTTTGATTGGAAGTACAAAAAAATATTGGTTAGTCATTTTTTATCAAACACAGTTTTATAAATAATTTAGTCAAAATTAGAAACAATTAAAATTTACCACCATTAAATTAAATAATAAACACACATTAGGACGACACTGGCTGTTCCTGCTTTCTACCACTTTTTACCTTTCGCTGATGTAGTCCAGCTCGTCTATCGGTTTATCTCGGCAAGGTAGAGAAAGATAATGAATTGGGCTACTGTATATTCCCATACTTTTGTAAAGTTCCAGTTAATTTTATATTTATGCTTTTTCACATTTAAAGTTCTTGATTTTGATTATTTTTTCCCATTTGAATAATGATTTATTCCATCTAATAATTAATATAATTAATCGTAGAAATTAAATTGATTTATTAATTAAGCGTGTTTTTTGCAATGTTCCTATCAGAAATTTAATCTTAACATTTTTTAATAATTAAAGTTATTCTAATTTTGACTTATAAAGTGGCATCTTTTGTAATCGCAGCAAGTGTCAAAATTATCTACTAACTATATTAAGTTGAATACGTTGACATTATTCTTATTAATATTATGCTAAATAAAATTTATTTAAAATTAATAAACAACAATAATACGTATTTTTATTTAATTTTCATATTTTTCAAAAATATAAAAAAAAAAATGCATCTATTGTGAATTGAAGAACCGCGTCGCGAAATGCAAAATTGACTACATGTTCAATGCTTAACTGAGCTAAAGAGTCATGTCAAGTGTGTGTATTTTATATGTTTTTAGTTTTTAGGACCGATTCCACCGTTGTGTTAAACGGAGATTAAAATGACATTGTTAATGTAAAAATATCATTTTAAACTCCGTTTAACACAACGGTGGAATCGGTCCTCAGTTGACTAACGTCTTGTTTGCAGGAATTTTAAAACTAAATCCTTACATATGACACTTCCTGATGGTCCCGCCTAACACTTTACAAAATTCCAGCCGGGAGGTACGATCTATGGGTACGATCATACCATAGATTTCATATTTTATTATCTAAGAAGGATCGTAATAAATAAAAATAAAATTCTTTCCATTGTCATGTTTATTTGTTCGTTTATAAAAAACATCGATGTTTACAAAAATCGATGTTTTCTTTCCGATTTTTTTACAACATCGATAGTCTGTATTCGATGTATCATTTGATGTCAACATCGATGTTTTAAAAATTTTGCGCATCCCTACCCGACGGACATGTCCAGAAAAGTAATGAAAAGTTGACCTTGGGCATAGAAAACAGTAAAATCTTCAACCTGCATGTTTTTTTTTTAATACTTTGGGAACAATATTTGTATTTTTGTTTTTTTTTTTAATCATTTATAAAATACTTTAAATATTTTGATTTTTTGATCATTTTATCATGTGTTTATTAATAAAATATGAAACGAAAATTTGAAAACATCCTTAAAATGTTATAAAAGTCAGTAATTATTTGTCATTTCTTCTTTTTTAAAGTATATTTTGCCTTTGTAAGAAATTCAGACAAATTAGTTAATTTAATTTCTCCCACACGCAATACACTTTTCCACTTTTGAAAAGTGTTCTTGGACTAGTCAACTTTTCAGACTAGACTTGTCTATGGCTTTTCCAAGCGATCCATCACTAATTATCTTTGCAGAGCAAAAAAAAGATTCTCACATTTCCAAAGTTTATCAATGTTGTATTTTATGCATGTTTAGAATCCAGCATTGGGTCAAAAAAGATATGGTCACCCTAATCTAAGGCAGAATTAGATATTTAACTTCTGTAATCCTAGAACACTAATATGGTTTTTATACACATTACTTACTAATGTGTTGTAAATATTACAAGAATGGGAAAATAAATTAATGACATAGGGGTCTATTCTGTAACAATTCCTTTATATTTAACGACCTTTAAAAATATGTTTGTATTCGTTAATTTACTTCTGTCATTATTTAAACAGATTTCTTTAAGATAATCCTCTAATGTATTTTAAAGATCCGTTTAAATAATGACAGAAGTAAAGAAGAAAATATTTTTAAAGGCCGTTAAATATAAAGGAATTGTTACAGAATAGACCCCATAGTCCAGTTGTATTTATAAAAATTAAGCTTTATTCCAAACAGGCATTGACATATAATAATGCTTATAAATTACCGTTTTGACTAATCTGAAGAGCAATAAGGCCCTAGATGAGGGCATCGGAGAAGAATTGGACAATAAAAACTTTCTGTCCAAAAGTTAAGAATTTACTAAGTTTTTTTTAATCTTGCAAATGCTGCAGATGTTTTGATGAATGGTGTGTTGTCATTTTGGAAATAGTCTGTATATGTCTCATCTAGGGGTTGGCACTAAGTTTTATTGTGAATTGAAGACAAAAAAGGTGCATTTTATTTTTGGTACATATGACAAGTCTTGATACTGTCTATGTTGACCATTCCAAAAAAGATGCACAGTGGCAATTGCCTATTCATGATCTCTTCAATTTTTTCAATTTCAGTGCTTTCTCCGCCAGTTATATGTTTTACGTTTTTTTTTTTTTTGTAATATTTACTTAGATAAAACGAAGTCTAACAAAATAATTTTTTCTAACCAAAAGTTCCTGTATAAAAAACGTAAACACTAAAATCTAAAATTTACAACACTTAATTGAAATAAAGTATTTATTAAAGTAATCTCGAGAAAATTATTACAATCACAGTGATTAAATAACTAATCAGGAAGGTACACAACAGAACTTGGAGATAGTAGGGGAATTTGAACAAAATATTCTGGTCTTCCATCACTTTTATCACATATTAGTGTTCTAGGATTAACATTTTTGACACTAAATATACAAAATTAAGAGTAAAATGTCTAAACCAGCCTCAGATAATATAGACAATACATTCCATGTTATATTAAACTCCTAGTTATATTTACAACTGATAATATATAATAAATGAAAAACATGACCAGTGTGAATGCTAATTTACTAAAGTAGCAAAATATTTAATTTTACATTTTTAACATTTTAGAGCTCTAAAATATATGCCTCATGCTGTTATGAAGCTTCTAGAAAATATGCCTATGCCATGGGAGCAGATCAGAGATGTTAAAGCATTATATCATATTACAGGAGCTATTACTTTTGTAAACGAAATCCCATGGGTTATTGAACCAGTGTATATTGCTCAGTGGGGGTAAGTATACTTGTTACTACCATACTGTGTATGTATTGGCAGCAATATTTTAGTTCTCTGTGAACACAAAACTTTTGAGTAATATTCACATTCTTACTACTGATTAGGTACTATTCTTTCATATCATAACTCAAGTAACTAGAATTTCGAATTTTCATTCCAAGTTTTTCTTGTTTGTCATTAATATTTTCATTAAAGGTGTTCACATATTGTTCAGGTTTTGCTTTTATAGACATTAAAGCTTACAAAATAAGAAATGAAGTCTACAAGCTTCAATGGTGTTTCATATTTACAACTACTTAATATTAAAAAAAATAAAAATGATAATAACCATAAATAAGTACCTCAAGTTCAACAGAAATAAATAGCAGAATTAAGTTAAGCCTAATCATAATAATAATTAGTCAATTATTTTTTAAGTACAATGTGGATCATGATGAGGAGAGAAAAAAGAGATAGAAGACATTTCAAAAGAATGCGTTTCCCACCATTTGATGATGAGGAACCTCCACTTGATTATGCAGACAATGTTTTAGATGTTGAACCTTTAGAAGCAATCCAAATTGAACTAGATGCAGAAGAAGATTCTGCAATTGCAAAATGGTTTTATGACCACAAACCATTGGTTGGTTCAAAATATGTCAATGGTCCAACTTATAGAAAATGGAATTTGTCTTTACCCATGATGGCAACATTATACAGATTGGCTAATCAACTGTTAACAGATCTTGTTGATGATAATTATTTCTACTTATTTGACACAAAAAGTTTCTTTACAGCCAAAGCTCTAAACATGGCAATTCCAGGTGGACCTAAATTTGAACCACTTATTAAAGATATGAACCCTGCGTAAGTTTTTATACATTACTGATGCTAATTTATCATTAATTATTAACAATTTTTAGGGATGAAGATTGGAATGAGTTTAATGATATAAATAAAATTATAATCAGGCAGCCTATAAGAACTGAATACAGGATAGCATTTCCTTATTTATACAATAACATGCCACATTTTGTACATTTATCTTGGTAAGTACATTAAGCAAGTGCAATTGAAAAATATGTTTTATTATCCACATAAGTTTTATATTTATTTGTCTTAAAATAAGTATACTAATATGTGGCATATCAATTGTAATATGATATTCTTTCCATCTTGGAGAATAAACTGGAAATGCTGAAACATTACAAACAATAATTTGTAAATCAAATATATTTATTTTCTATTTTTGATGAGTTTCAATTGTATTTATTATTTCTAGGTACCATGCTCCGAATGTAGTTTACATTAAAACTGAGGATCCAGATTTGCCTGCATTTTATTTTGATCCTCTAATTAACCCAATATCTCATAGACATGCTGTAAAAAGTTTGGAACCTTTACCAGAAGATGATGAAGAATATATTTTACCTGAAACTGTACAACCATTTTTGCAGGAAACTCCTTTGTACACTGATAACACTGCTAATGGTATAGCTTTGTTGTGGGCACCTAGACCATTTAATATGAGATCAGGTAATTGAATATTTTTTAGTACGTACCTGTCTAATTAAGTAATTTCTAATTTATTTACATTTTGTAATCAATAACTTTTTCAGGTCGTTGCAGAAGAGCCATTGATGTACCTTTGGTAAAACCGTGGTATATGGAACATTGCCCACCAGGACAACCTGTTAAAGTACGAGTCAGTTACCAAAAATTGCTCAAATATTATGTTCTAAATGCTCTTAAACACAGACCTCCTAAGGCACAAAAGAAAAGATATCTTTTTAGATCATTCAAATCAACTAAATTCTTCCAAACCACTACTTTAGATTGGGTTGAAGCTGGTTTACAAGTGTGTAGACAGGGCTACAACATGTTGAATTTACTTATTCACAGAAAAAATTTGAATTATCTACATTTGGATTATAATTTTAACTTAAAACCAGTAAAGACATTAACCACAAAGGAAAGAAAGAAATCACGGTTTGGAAATGGTAAATGTTTGACATAATTTATAATTAATCTTATTTAAAATGATTGTGAATATAGTTATTGATTTATGTTTTAATCTCATTACAGCTTTCCATTTATGCCGAGAAATATTGAGGCTAACAAAACTTATAATTGATTCTCATGTTCAATACCGTTTAAACAATGTGGATGCTTTCCAATTAGCTGATGGTCTACAATATATCTTTGCTCATGTTGGTCAACTGACAGGAATGTACAGATACAAGTATAAACTTATGAGACAAATCAGAATGTGCAAAGATTTAAAGCATCTAATATATTATCGTTTTAATACAGTAAGTAAAACTCTATCGTTTTTTAGTGACATTTTAATTAATTAATTTCATAGGCTTTTCCTTTACCATTTTAAATAAAGTAGATATATATTTTAGTTATTTTGCTCTATAGGTATTCCTAGAATACCTTTGTATTTCTTAAGCACTTTTTTTTTATATAAATTTCAATATTACTGCTTTTTTTTTTCATGGGTTAGTTGACTTTCCTTTAGATCTTTTCCCATATTTCCTCAGTTTTAATAAAATTCTGTCTATTATTGTTCCGGTAATGATTTCTCTTCCTAAATAAATTATGAATAAACCTCAAGGGGATTGACACATAAATTTGTACACCTACTGACAATTACATTCGCTTTTAAAAATAATTGGTAATTTTAGTTGTAATTAAATGTAATCCATGGCCTATGTAATGGTAATGTGAAGGAAATTTTTCTAAAATATTATAAACGTTCAATAATTTTCATCATATTTAAAAGGTCTTTTAATTATTTTAAATTTAATTCTTTTTCTGAAAAATTAGTTCCATGAATTTTTCATTTCCTGATTTTGACGGAATTTGGTTAATAATTATAAACTGTCAAAACTATAATTGAGTTTGATTTTTAAAAACTTTTTGGTGGGATATTTCGCCTTCCAGTTCGTGTTACATAATATGATGTTTTAACAATTTCTCAGGAGTTTCATTTTCGGAGCCCACTGGTTCATCTGAAAAAAATTGCCAGAAGATCAGAATATTCCTCAAATATTTCTGAGGAAGACTAATAACACATGGATATTAGCTTATGAATGCACGATTACAAAACAAAAAAGATTGCTAATGTAGTTCTACCGAATGAATTTATTTCATATCCATTCTAGGTACTGAGAACACTGCAAAAAAATTAAATCGACCATTCACAGTTGATCACTAAACTACTGATTAACTATTTTTTTTTTTTAATTTTAAATAAGTGACAATTCTGTCAAACTAATTCCCAAGTAACATTTTTAGGAGAAACAAGTTTTATTTATGTTTTATTAGGATTTTGTAAAAGCATAAAAATTAATAATTATTTTATTACAGTTATTTTTTTTTGCTAATAGGACTACAGGATAAATTGATCTTATTACTTGGTTTTATAGATTCCTTTAAATCTGTTTAAGAAAACTAGTTTATCCTAAAGTAAACTATGCTTTATCGCTATCCTGTAAGGGTTAATTAATAAGTAATTTTAGAACTATTTAGTTTGAAGATACTCCTAAGGTGTGTTTGGTGTTAAAGAGGCATACTTTTTAGCAGTTATCTTAATTAGGTTTTAAAACTTAGTTTTAAAAAGTGTTTTAGGATTATACTTTAAATTAAATTGATCCCAGAACCTTTTAGATACATTTTCTACAATTTTTCAACATAACTCTTATAATTTATTTAATGTAGTAAACGATAGGGCTCTTTTAAAACTACATAGTTTTAATAAGAAATAAAGTTTCTTTTAGAGCATAACCTAGCTTTTCAACTCAATCACATTATGTTGACGTTGAAAGATAAATTGCTCAAAATAGAGAAAAGTGATAATTTCCATACAGAATAAAAAAATGTACCTATATGTCTACTCTTCTAAAGACACTGAGAGTCTCGATTTAGTATCAAAAGATTTACACTCAAAAGCTGAAGAATGGTTTCTAGGAAATAGTCTTAAATTGAATAATAATAAAATCCAAAATCTTTATTTCACTACGACCTACTCAAAGAGTGACACTCAAAGTGTAAAGCTGCTTGGCGTATTTGTAGATGAACATCTTAATTGGAATGTCCATGTGGAATACCTAAAAAGTAAGTTAGCAACGGCACTCTTTGTTTTAAGGCAGTTAAAAAATTCAACAAGCTTTGACGTACAAAAATTGACCTATTTTTCACTTTTTCACTCGCATATATCCTATGGCATTGTTATATGGGGAAATGCTTCTGCTGCATTAGACATTTTCAGATTGCAAAAGAAGGCCATAAGAGTATTGTGTGATGTTGGTTTTCGTGAACCTTGTAAAACTTTATTTATTAAACTTAGGATAATGCCTTTACCTACATTATTTCTTTATTATATGCTTGTGGAGATTCACAAAAAGAGGAATTTTTTGGGGAAAAATTCGGATGTACATGATCACAACACTAGATTTGCCACAAATTTTAGAAATAAACGATATCGTTTAACTAAATCTCAAAAAATTCACTAAATTTAAATTTCTACAACACATTACCAGACGAATTTAAAAAAATGTCTTTAAATAAGTTTAAAAAATCTCTTAAACAGTTTATGCTGTGATTTTGTTTTTACTCTGTTAATGAATACATAGAACATTTCATTTAAAGCACATTGCTTGCATTGGCTTTAAATTCATTACTTAAATTAACGATTTAAACTCTACTTAAATTGGTACTATGATCCTGTTGGAACCAGCGTTGAGGGACATGGAACATGCTCACTGCCTTATTCTATTTTAATTTTTATTGATGTAAATGTTTTCCTTTTTCTTAGATTTTACTAATTTTATTTTGTAATTGACCATTGTTATTTTATATTTGAAGTTGTGAGCTCGTAATTGTATTGTATTTAATTTAATTGTATTAATATTTTAAATTTTCTGTTATACCTTGCTGCCTATAGAGGTACGTTCAGCTGTAACCTTTTAACTTTTCTTTTTGTTGTCATGACTTGCTACAAACTTGTGAATCAAATGTAATGTAGTCAAATAAAATTTACTTTACTTTCTCCTCCTCAGTGTTTAATAAATTGATTGTGTGCCATTGTTTAACAAATACCAAAGAAACATTCCGAGGCTCCGAATATTCTGGAAATGATCAGTGAAAGAGAAAAATGGTTTAAATATTATTACTAATTATTATATTTTGTTCGTAGAGTAAATAAGAAGCTCAAGAATGAGGTTAGGTTATGCCCGTCTGATTGAACTTATGAATATTTTCGTTTTTACTATTGTTTAATAAAACGCTTTAAAAAGTGTAGCAGGAGTTTTTTAAAACTGAAAAGTCCTAAAAAGAATTTTTTTTGCTTTATTAATTTAATAAGCTAATGTTCATTTTTAGGTACAGTTAGAACACAATGAGGAAAACCTCCATTTTTAATATGGCAGTGACTATTTAACCACATATCATGTAAAATAGTACCTATCTACCAGGCCCATGACACTCCCTGGGCGGGAAAAAGACGCGCAGCTTTTACTGCGCTGACGTTTTCGGGATATAACTCCCGTAAGGAGTCCTATTACAGCCCTGAGTTCGCTTCTGCTAAGGTTTAGCAGTTGATATTGTCTGCTCGTGGATGGCCCCTCTATGAATCTTTTGGACTATCTAAGTCCAGGAAGTTCCATCCAGAGCCTATGTTGTTCTCTTTTTATTTGCTTCTTTAACACCCATTTAACATGTTGGTATGAGATACCACACGTGGGTTCTGGTCCAATAAGAGTTTTTTGTGCTCCCTTCCTTGCTAGGAGGTCTGCTTTCTCGTTTCCAAACACTCCCTCATGTCCTGGCACCCATTCAAGGGTGACCTTGTTATGTTCTGCCAGGGCCTGGAAGAACTGTTGGCAATCAAATATTGATTTAGATTGTACTTCTACCATTTTCAGTGCTTTAAGGGCTGCCTGACTGTCTGTCATGATAACGACCCTCTTATCTCTAAGAGAGTCATTTAGCGCAGGCATTTATTGCTGTTACTTCAGCCTGGAAGACTGTTGTCAGTGACCCCAGGTTCAAACTAATTGTCCTCCCTGAGTTCACATGGTAGATCCCAGCTCCTGTGCTGTTTTTCAGTTTCGAACCGTCTGTATACAAGATTGATTCGTTTTTTCCCTATTTTCCCGGCTTTTGAGTCCCATAGTATTCTTACAGCTTTTTCTGTTGTTTTTTGTATATGGCTGCAGAAGCTAAGCTTGTCATCAAGAGTGATTCCCACATATAAAGCTCCTTCATTCCTTGAAGGTTCCTTGTTCTTGTGAATGCAACAACAGAGGTTTTTGTCGGGTTCGTGGACAGTCCCTCTTTAAGGCACCATCTTTCGGATACAACAGTCCCAAATTTACCGTTTACTACGATGCTTATGTCGTCTGCAAATGCTTGCGTGTATAAGTTTTCTCTCTCTAACTCCCATAAGAGGTCATCAACCACCAAAGTCCACATAAGAGGAGATAACACTCCTCCCTGCGGGCATCTCTTGTTAACTGAGACCTCTCTTGTTGTGTTAAGGAGATTACTGGTAATGGTTCTATGATTAAGCATGAACTCTACCCACTTCGTAATGCAATGGGCTACTCCCAGTATTGAATTGTATGAAGCAGAGTCAAAGACTCCTTCTATATCTAGGAAGACTCCTAGTGCTATTTCTTTGCTTTCCAATGCTTGTTCAGCCTGTTGAGTTAGCCTATGTATGGCTGCATCGCAAGACTTTCCAGATTGGTAGGCAAACTGGTATCGATGTATCGGTTTATCCCGTAAAACATCGTCCCGTATATATCTATCGATCAATTTCTCCAATGTTTTTAGAAGAAATGATGTTAGGCTAATTGGTCTAAAAGATTTGGTCTCCTCGTAGGACGCAAAAAAAATAATACTCTCCTTACTTCACCCCCTTACGAGTGAATTTTAACCCCAAAAGCTGAGCTTGTGCGGGGAAAGGGACGGATATTATTATTATTATTTGGCGTGGCGCTCCGGGGCGACTTAAAGATGATTGATGGTGCCATTTGACTTACAGGTGAGGAAAATCTCACCCACCATCATCGAGACGGTAATGCATGGTGATTTTACAATCTGCATGTCATATCAACAGAAATTGAATTTCTATTAATACGGCACACATCAAATCCTATACCGAACCATGCAATTTAATTAAAAATCCACATGGTCTGTTCTGGGATTCGAAGCCTGGCATTCTCGGATCATAAACTTGCCTATAAATGAATATAAGCGCGTTAGACTGTTACACCACCGACCCGATTCATTAATTTTAATAAAACTGTAGGAAGTCAATTTAATTATGAGTATTAAAGCAAAAAAAAATTTAAGCGCTTCGATGGTGGTAAGGTTATAGTATAGTATAGAGTTTAAATCTAAGACGGGGACAAATTAAATTAATTTTTGTTGTTTTTTTTTTATTTTTTTTTTTATAAATTAGTAAAAGTCATAAATTAATTTTAATTAAGTTATTTTATCTTAATAACCTAAAGTAGTTTGTAATATTTGTTGATTTTTGTTAGTTGGTCGTAGAAAAAAATACTGTACAACTCGAGTGGATTATCCATATCCACTCTATTTCTATTCTTTCTTGAAGGGAATTTTGATTTTTCGTTTTTTAATATATTTAATATTTCCAAGCCTTGTTTTTTCTACAGAATACATTTCTTTGTGAAATATTACATTCTTTATAGCCCCTTCTGTGACTACAAAAAGGGGCTTGCCACTTTTTTGTCCACTCTTTCTTGTTGTGAAATTCAAATTAAAGTTTCACATTGATAAATATATATAATTATTATTAGCTAGTTATGCTTTTTTCCCACAATGAAATATGTGCTTCCAGACATTGAGAACAATGAAAAAAGTATTTTCCGGCATTTTCTGTTATCTAATTTTTCAAGAAAATTCGTGATTTTTCTGGACCGAAGATATTTTTGATTCTGCAAAAAGGTTGATATGGTATTTTGCAAATAGGTGTAAAATCAGAACCAAAAGTCGAAAAGAGGTTTAATTTCTCTTAAAATATTTGTAGGACTCTCAACTATTTTTATTTAGTGCATTTTTAATTAATTCATCATAAATTAGACTATTTGTAGATTTTTTTACGAAAAGCGGTGTAAGTAAAGGGCAAACTACTGAATAAAATATTCCAGCAAGGGCAATACTCTTAGTTGAGACTGTTGAGAAAAAAAAATTGAGAGCAATTATCAACATCTAATACTTCAATTTCTGCTTCAACATCAGTTAATATTATTTCTACAGATGGTTTACTTATGTTAGCTAAAGAAATGCATAAAATACAAGTGAAATTCCAAGCATTTTGTATTATTACTTGAATTTTAGTATAACTTGGTAACCATTCTAGTCTGACATTTTTATCCCCCATTTTTTGATGATTTTTTTTTTCTTGTGAAAATTATTGTTGTTCTACAATAAGTAACGTAATCAATTGGGTATTTAGAAAATAATCATATTTAATTGTGCAGTTTTTGAAATATGAAAACAAAAATTGATTTTTCATTTTCATATTTCCAAAATTGTATTAATAAACCGATTTTTCTCACTTCACTTTTCTTTCATTGCATGTAATTGTCTTTAAGAGATTAACTACCTGACACGACGACTTTTCACCCAAGAATAACTATATTATTGTATACTTAGATACCTAGACTGATGTAATTTATATATTTGAAAGTAATCGAATCTAATTGGAACTAAATCAATGTAATTATTGGAAGTATTGGAATGTAATTGAAAGTAATCAAACATAGCAATGTGGTCGAAAATAATCAGAAACTATTTTGTGATTGAATATACCTACTTATTTAATTAGATTTGCACAACTTATACACCTAGTCACTACTTTTCAGCCACTTTGGGCTAGCTTCTAGCTGGCTCTATACAGTCTGATTTTCAAAGTATTGCAACGTTTGTATAATTTATTTATAGTTTATTTATTTAAAACAATTGGAACTAAATTAATGTAATTGGAAGTATCGAATGTAATTAAAAGTAATCCAACAGTAATATGGTCGAAAATAATCAAAAACTGTTTTGTAATTGAATATAATCAGTAGTAATACTATAAGTACTTCAAAATAATCGATAACTTATTGCATAATTATAAAGAGTGTCAGTTTGACAGTTTAAATAATCCGATCGCGAAGCGGGAGGATTATTCTGTCAAACTGACACGATTTGTAATTATGCAGGAAGTTTGAGATGTATAACCGTATTTATTTTGAAGTACGTATTGTATTTGATACGATTATTTTTTGAGTAAATTAAGTAAATATCAACAATTTATTAATTTAAATACATATTGGTACAATGAAAATAATTATTGATGAACGTCAAAATTTGACGGTCCTGTTAGTTAGTGTATTGTTGTCGATGTGGTTACTACGGAAATGAAATTATTGTAAATATTTTTGATTGGTGGAGCTACTCTATGTATAATCAGGTATTATCGAAATTATACGAGGTAACTTAACTAAATTGAACATTCTAATTGGTTAAAAGTTATACGAAAAAAATAATCATATATAATTATATTTGCATAACTAGTCGACAAGTGTCATACTCATCGCCATACATGTATAAATTTAAATAGTATTATTACCTGATAGTTTATATTTTCGTGTTTTAGGGACCTGTTGGTAAAGGGCCAGGTTGTGGCTTCTGGGCACCAGGTTGGAGGGTATGGCTGTTTTTCATGAGAGGAATAACACCTCTTCTTGAAAGATGGTTAGGTAACTTACTATCCCGTCAATTTGAAGGGCGTCATTCAAAGGGTGTTGCTAAAACCGTTACGAAACAAAGAGTTGAATCGCACTTCGATCTTGAATTGAGAGCATCCGTAATGCACGATATCGTTGATATGATGCCTGAAGGTAAATTAAATTTATAGATTATCAATCAAATTTAACGCTATTCTTTTCTCTAGGTATTAAACAGAACAAAGCCAGAACAATTCTTCAACATTTGTCAGAAGCCTGGAGGTGCTGGAAGGCCAACATTCCTTGGAAAGTTCCTGGATTGCCAATACCAATTGAAAACATGATTCTAAGATATGTAAAAATGAAGGCTGATTGGTGGACAAATACTGCTCACTACAACAGGGAGAGAATCCGTAGAGGCGCTACTGTTGACAAAACTGTTTGTAAGAAAAATCTTGGCAGACTGACTAGATTGTATCTTAAAGCTGAACAAGAGCGCCAACATAATTACCTTAAAGATGGACCATATATTTCCCCAGAGGAAGCCGTTGCTATTTATACCACAACAGTTCATTGGTTAGAATCTAGAAGATTTGCTCCTATACCTTTTCCACCTCTCTCCTACAAACATGACACTAAATTACTAATTTTGGCGTTGGAAAGGTTAAAAGAGGCATATAGTGTCAAATCACGTTTGAATCAAAGCCAAAGAGAAGAATTGGGGTTGATAGAACAAGCATATGATAATCCTCATGAGGCGTTATCTAGAATAAAACGTCACTTGTTGACACAAAGAGCTTTTAAGGAAGTGGGAATAGAATTTATGGATCTCTACAGCCATCTCATTCCTGTATATGATGTAGAACCATTAGAAAAAATCACCGATGCTTATTTAGATCAGTATCTATGGTATGAAGCAGATAAGAGAAGACTTTTCCCTCCTTGGATTAAACCTGCTGATACAGAACCTCCACCATTGCTTGTTTACAAATGGTGTCAAGGTATAAATAACCTTCAAGATGTATGGGACGTGAATGAAGGAGAATGTAATGTTTTATTGGAATCCAAATTTGAAAAACTTTATGAAAAAATCGATTTGACTTTGCTCAACAGACTGTTGAGATTAATAGTTGATCACAACATTGCTGATTACATGACTGCTAAAAATAACGTAGTTATTAATTACAAAGACATGAATCATACAAACAGTTACGGAATTATTAGAGGATTACAGTTTGCCTCATTTATTACCCAATATTATGGTTTGGTATTGGATTTATTAGTCTTAGGTTTGCAGAGGGCCAGTGAAATGGCAGGGCCTCCACAAATGCCTAATGACTTTTTGACTTTCCAAGATGTTCAATCTGAAACTTGTCACCCTATTCGGCTGTACTGCAGATACGTAGATAGGATTCACATGTTTTTCAGGTACAATTTTTTTATTATGTGTTTATAGTCAAACCTTTTACTTTGATAAATTAGTAACTATTGCTTTAAACAACATATATTCAGAAGATTGTAAGTAATCCAAACAAAGTGTTTGCAACTGATTTGTAAAAAAAGGAAAGGAAGTATCACAAAAACATTATTTAATGGTACTGGCAAAAGGTATTTTATTATTAATAAAATATTAAATTAATATTTTAAATGCTGACATAGCTTTAGTTGTACTGGGTAGATCTGTGATTCAAATTTATATTATTTTCGCTTTTAATTTTTTCTTCCTATTTTTCATAGACATATTATAGAAGGCCAATATAAATGTAACATTTAAGAGGAAATTAAAACCTGCTGTGCATAAAAACGTGTTTCTGTAAAGGACATCGCAGACTAGGCTATAAGCATGCACAGCATGCATGACTTGTCCCTGTAGCATTGCCAAGTATATTACAAACCTGCCATAAGATTAAATAATTAGATTAATATACTTAAATATTAGATTACTTAACTCTATAATACAATCACATACATGAACGCTAAAAACATATGCCTCCTTTTTTTTTGGCAGTCATGCATTTTTATATTAAAAACACGACTCCGCGTAACGTCCCTGTTTTGGAATTTTTTCACAATTTTTGCTTTGTTAATAAGTGTTACTTTCTTAATTCATATTTTATGTAAAATATTTTAAACTATTATTTATTTTTACTTATTCACGAATTTTAGAATAGAAATAGTTGTTTAATTATAAAAATTAATATACGATCATCTATTATTAAGGAGATATTCAGGTAATTAACAAATTACAAATCTTACAGGCTTTAGTTTTGACAAATCGCTTTAGTTTTAATCGCCACATCTCCACAGCTGTGGGAATTTTTTTGAAATCCCAAGATCCAATAAAAGGACGTCCCGAGAAATTAGTGAATTAGTTGGCTGCTATTAATGATCTACATTGTTTCTTACATGGTACTTACTAATGAAAAATTAATTTTGACTATAACAATTTGTTTAGATACAGCTTTTAAGATACATATTTATTTTGATTATACATCAATTTTCTTTCTCTTTGGAAACTAGAACAAAACAGACCTGCCACTTCTGTTTAATATTGTTCTTAGAAAATATTATTATGATTGTGGTGAATTCCTATTTAAAAAGAATATATTGCCCATACTCGCCCAATACAATTACAAATGATTAATATTCCATTTTATAGGCTTTGACAGATACTTCAATGTTATGTATTTAATCTTAACCTACAAATATAGCAATTGTCACCAAACTTGAAGCATTTGCTTAGTTTAATATTTGCTGCTTTTTATTTATTGCCAAGGTCTGACTATATGGTTTGATAGGTCTTGTGGATACAACATAAATAGGGCATAAAAAGGAATAATCAATTTATAATGTAACATTTTTTATAGATTTTCTGCAGAAGAAGCCAAAGACTTGATCCAGCGATATTTAACAGAACATCCCGATCCAAACAATGAAAATATTGTTGGATATAATAACAAGAAATGTTGGCCAAGAGATGCAAGAATGCGCTTAATGAAACATGATGTAAATTTGTAAGCAAATAATATTTTTTTGTGATCTGCAAATATTTAAATACATGTCTTTTGATTTCTTAGGGGAAGAGCAGTATTTTGGGATATTAAAAATAGATTACCAAGATCTGTTACAACTATCCAATGGGAAAATAGTTTTGTTAGTGTATATTCTAAAGATAATCCAAATCTACTCTTTAATATGTCTGGATTTGAATGTAGAATTCTACCAAAGGTAATAATGCTTATATAAAATTGTGTATTTGTTTAAATAATTTTATTATCTTTTAGTGCCGCACTCAACATGAAGAATTTACCCACAGAGATGGTGTATGGAATCTTCAGCACGAAGGCAGTAAAGAAAGAACTGCACAATGTTTCTTACGAGTTGATGATGAGTCAATGAGTCGATTCCATAACAGAGTCAGGCAAATTCTTATGGCTTCAGGTTCTACCACATTTACAAAAGTATAACATATATTAAAACAATTGGGTTAGTAATTAACTGAATTTTCGTTTTATTTTTTAGATTGTGAACAAATGGAACACCGCCCTCATAGGTCTGATGACATACTTCAGAGAAGCTGTAGTAAACACACAAGAACTTTTAGATTTACTTGTTAAATGTGAAAACAAAATCCAAACACGAATAAAAATAGGTCTAAACTCTAAAATGCCTAGCAGATTCCCTCCCGTTGTGTTTTATACTCCAAAAGAATTGGGAGGCCTTGGTATGTTGTCCATGGGCCACGTTTTAATTCCCCAATCAGATCTTAGATGGTCAAAACAGACCGATGTGGGTATTACACATTTCCGATCTGGTATTAGCCATGATGAAGATCAGTTGATTCCTAATTTATATCGTTACATACAACCTTGGGAATCCGAGTTTATAGATTCACAAAGAGTTTGGGCTGAATATGCCCTCAAGAGGCAGGAGGCTAATGCACAAAATAGGAGGTTGACGTTGGAGGATTTGGAAGATTCCTGGGACAGAGGAATTCCTAGAATAAATACACTCTTCCAGAAAGATCGACACACTTTGGCTTATGATAAAGGGTGGAGAATTAGGACTGAGTTTAAACAATATCAAGTAAGTCAAAATTTTATTTAAGTCTTAATATATTCAAAATTATTGTAATTTATTAATTTTGTACTTCACAAATACTTTTGCTAATAAATCAATTATCAGTTATTTATAATAAATACAAACATGTCTTATGAATAAGTGCCAAAATGTTAACAAATATGTAACTTATCAAAAGCAGTAAATTTGATTAACTTGACAAACCTTGAAAAAGTAATTTGGAAAGTGTAAATAATTCTGATATAACTAATTTGATTAAAAAAATGTTTAATCTGAAATTTATTTTTGAATAGTTCACAGATTCATAATGAATTGTACACAGCAGTGGTAAAAACCTGACATCAAAATATGACGATTGGCCAAAAATTACCTTAGTAAAATGTTGATAGTTAACAATTTATAGGGTGGTACAGTTGAAATATTAACTATTTTGGTATATTGCAGTACCTACTTTACTGATATTGATGACATTTTAGAAATTTGAGTTTTTTTGAGGAGACAAGTGACACCATATTGTTATTTTTGGCTTTCTCCATGAGGAGGCACTGCATATTCTAACGAAGATGAGTTTTTGGCTATCAACATTTTACTTAGCTCATATTTGGACAATCTTCAAATTTTGATGTCAGGATTCTACCATTGTTCTGTGTACAATTCATTATGAATCATCCTGTATAACTTAACACAATCTTTTTAGAAAATGTTTTTATTATTTCCCATTTTTGTGCTTGTTTTTGTTTATTATTCACTTAGCCAAGCCTTATGTTTTGCAGTGGCAGCTAACAAAAAAAAAAAAAAAACATTGACACTTAAAAAAATATATTGTCCCTTTTGAAATAGTAACTTTTGTTAAATAACTGTTATGATAAACTTTGAAAAGAAATTTTGTACAAAATAACCTGTAATAACTAGACAGGAGTCATGTGTTGGACACATCGGATTTTTTTGTTTAATATTCATTCAGCTAAGTCTTTCGACTTATGTTGCAGTGGCAGGTAACAAAACCACATTGACGGTTAAAAACTCAACAAAATTAGTAACTTTTGTTACATATAACTTATGACAAACCTTAAAATATTAATTTGAAAACTGAAAAGTGTTGCAATTAATTCCAGAAAACTAATTTGATTTTGAAAAGTTTGAATAGATTAATTAAGTTTATTTTTTAATACTATACATATAACCTATTACAATCTTTTTAGAAAAACTTCATTAATTCCAATTTTTGCGTGATTTTTGTTTGTTTATTATTCATTCCGTCAAGCTTTTTGACTTATGATGAAGTGACGGGTAATAAAAAACATTGACCGAAAAACATCTTGGACATTGCCCCTTTTGAAACTCATCAAAATCAGTAACCTTTATTAAATAACTGTTATGACAAACCTCGAAAAAGCAATTTGGAAAGTGCTGCACTTCATTTTAGAATCAATACTAAATGACATATTATGACAATATTTTTAGAAAAACTTCATTAATTCCATTTTTTTGCGTGATTTTGGTTTGATTATTATTCACTCGGCCATGCTTTTTGACTTATGTTGCAGTGACGGGTAATAAAAAACATATTAACAGTTAGAAAAATGTCTTGGACGTTATCCTTTTTGAAACTCATCAGAAGCAGTAACCTTTGCAAATTGTATGAACTAAATAACCTATCATAATATTTTTAGAAAAAACTTTATTAATTCCCATTTTTTGCATGATTATTTTTGTTTATTATTCACTCAGCCAAGTCTTTTGACTTATGTTGCAGTGACATGTAACAAAAAACACATGGACAGTTAAAACATATCTTGGACACACTCCCTTTTGGAACTCAGGGCGTTATGATTGACAACCGGTGTTATTTTTAACAGGTCTGTTATTTTATAAACACATAGAAATTACAACCTGTTTACAAATAACGTGTCTGTTAAAAATAACATTATTTGTCAATCATAACCCCTCTAGTAACTGTTATGACAAATCTTGAAAAAGCAATTTGGAAAGTGTTGAAAATAATTCTAGGGCCTAATTTGATTTAGAAAAAATTGTGTGAACCAATAAAGTTTATTTTTTGATAGTAAATAGAGTTATCGAAGCTTTCGAATAGAGGCGGATTTTAATAAAAGATAGTTGTATAATCAAATTATCGAAAGTAGTTAACTAAACTTTATTATATTTCTTTTAATTCGACAGATAATTAAATTATACCTTAAAAAGCAAATAACGTAACACTGATAACAGGAAAATGTTAGAAATATAAAAATCAAAATTTCAGATATCCCTTCATCGAATCATCAATGACGAAGTTTAGAACAGTTACCCTAAGCAATTTGTATGAAGTAATTAAAACTCAAAAAAAAAAGAAGTCTAGAACAGATGAATTTTGAATTATTGCATGATATTATATTTGAGAAATAAAGTTACTTATTTATTTCCTCACAGGCAATAAATATGACAAAGACAGAAAAATGGTTGGAATAAGAGAACTTTTAAAAAACGCCACTTATTGATTTAAATAGAGTAAGGGAAGCCAGTATTTTATTAAAAAACGATTATAAAAATTGCAGTGAATGTGCATCAAATATGTCAAAATAAGAGAAAATTTATTGAAGGAGGTACTGGGTGATATGGAATAAAATTGAGTTTTTAAAAAATTATACTAAGTATGTATTAAATATTTTAATTGATTTATTGGTAAAATAATAAAGTAGGCAAATGTTATAAAAATAATGGTCTGCCATCTTGTTTGTAACACTCTTGCAAAATTCTTTTCTAAAACGTTCTTTTAACTCCTAGATATTGACTGGAGGGTCGATGTATACAGGGCTTTTGAGATACCCCCACAAAAAAGTACAATGTTGTAATGTCAGGTGACCTTAGAGGACAGGGATATCGCCACATTTGGAGATAATGGTGCAACAGCACATACCCAAAACTGTTCATTGACACTGTGAGTGAATTGTTCCCAGGTACCTTCATCTCTAAACGTGATGACATACCTTGGTCTCCAAGGTCACTCGACCTTACGCCAGTAGTTTTTTTCTGTGGGGGTATCTCAAAGGCCTTGTATACATTGACCCTCCAGTCAATATCGAGGAGTTAAAGTGTATTCGAAATGATGGCAGTGTGTGTTTTCCAAAAATTAATAGTAATTTTGCAAAAGTGTTATAAAAAAGATGGCGGCATATGGACAATAATTTTTTAATCTACATTTTCCTACTTTATTATTTTACCTGAATTTTATTCCTGGTCACCCAGTACACAAGATACTTTTTGAAAACTCTAAATAATCTACCACAATATTTTTAGAAAGGAATTATCCCATTTTTGTGCTTGTTTTTATTATTCACTTGGCTAGGCCTTTCAACTTATGTTACACTGGCAGATAACAAAAAACACATTGATAGTTAAAAAAATATTTGGGACACTGCCCCTTTTGACGAGTTACATAAAATAATATGTTCTTTAAAATTGTAGCACTTATTTCCTTGGCATTTTGTAGAAATACAAATGTCTGATAATTTCTTGACATTCTTTTATAGGTACTAAAACAAAATCCATTCTGGTGGACACATCAAAGGCACGATGGTAAATTATGGAATCTTAACAATTATAGGACAGACATGATACAAGCACTTGGTGGTGTTGAAGGTATACTTGAACACACATTATTCAAAGGAACTTACTTCCCCACATGGGAAGGTCTTTTCTGGTAAATATTTTTTACTCTTTCTATTTATTTGAATAGTTAGCTCAACAAATAAAAAATTATTAATATCTAATGTCCGTTTCAGGGAAAAAGCTTCTGGTTTTGAAGAATCCATGAAATACAAAAAATTGACAAACGCTCAAAGATCTGGTTTGAACCAAATCCCCAATCGTAGATTCACCTTATGGTGGTCACCTACTATTAACAGAGCTAATGTATATGTTGGTTTCCAAGTACAACTTGACTTGACTGGTATTTTCATGCACGGTAAAATTCCTACCTTAAAAATTTCGCTGATTCAGATTTTTAGAGCTCACTTGTGGCAAAAAGTTCATGAGAGTATTGTGATGGATTTGTGTCAGGTGAATATTTTTATTATTTTTTCTCTCATGTACAAGATATTATAGAAATCAAAATGCTAGAAAAAGATCTATAAAAGTAGGTATAATTAATTCAAAATACGTTTTAGGTATTTGATCAAGAATTAGATGCTTTGGAAATTGAAACTGTGCAGAAGGAAACTATCCATCCTAGAAAATCATACAAAATGAACTCGTCTTGTGCTGATATTTTACTATTTTCAGCTTATAAATGGAATGTTTCTCGACCGTCACTTCTAGCAGATACAAAGTAAGTCGATTAAAATGTTATAATTAAAAACATTGTATAAGGATTCCTACTTACTTCCATAATATACCTATTCGATATAAGAAGATTCATGTAGGCAATAAAATTAATCTCAAAATATATTCATTCAATGTTCAAAAAAAAAAAAATTGATACTTATCTGTTTATTATTTATTTAGGGAAATTATTATTACAAATAATTAGCAGTCTCTTGATGCCTTATTTTAAATAAATTCTCTCTCATCTCATAGAATGCTTGATATTGGTATTTATCAGTTAATTTGTTTCATTTTACTTTTCTCCTATATATAGTTTCAGTCATTCCCTATATTTTATAACTCTACCTTTAACTACTTTCTTCTCTCTATTCCTCCCCGAAGTTAACATTTAACACTGATTTTGCTAGTTTTACCCCTGTTGAGGATTAATATTACAATTACATTTTATACAAATTTTAATTACCACATCAATTCGGACAAATTCTGGGTGAAAAGAATTTTTAATTTTGCGACGGTATGGCCCACTTCAAGTTGTTCTGTCCTCACTTATAAAACGTTGAAAATGTGGTAAAATTATGATTTTAGATGCTGAATACATACGTTTTGAAGGATAAAGAACTATTGAAAATTACTGCCCAAAATATACAAAAAAAAAAAAAATATTGTGTCTGGCATTTAGGGACTGACACAGTCAGAAGAATGTAACATCTTAAAGTTTTTTTTGGTTTATTATACTAAATTATCCGAAATATACAAAACTTTCCTGTGACCCCTCTGTGATCTGCACCAAAAAGTTTTAATAATAACGAAACTTAACTAACTTTAAATTACTAAGTTATTTGTTTATTTATTTTGTACTTCCTTGGCTAAAACAGGCCATTTTTAAATAAAAGACAAATACATACAAATCTGGCCAGTGTTTTACCGCTCATTCCAACGGCAAAACAAATTTATGATTATCATATTTTTAATGTCATCTCTTAATTGAATGCTTCTTTTATTAGTTGATGTATTGTTTAAAACTTTGCATAGTATTACTGCTTTTCTATGGCTGAGCATGTGGAGTTAAAAGTTGATGATGTGCTTGGCCTGTTCTTAAAGGAAACGAAGTGTACTGCCTTTCACCTCTACACTTCTGACTGATGAGATATTTTGCCATCCGCGTGCGATAAAGTTTGTGGTTGATGTAAGTAGTTGGATGCATTATATTACGTATTCAAAATAATAGACTGGAAAAATTTCAGGACTGTCTATCAGAGTTGCCATATTATGAAAGAAAAATTTCTTGCATTATAAAAATTATGCGAAAATGTTTAAAATACATAATTATTGTTACTTAACACTATAGTATCTTCGTTCACGGTAAGAATCCTGAACTGATTTAGAGCTACTAATTCATATTTTGAGCGCATTCCCGATTCTTTATTAATTTTGAATTGTTACCGCACGCCTAACCCCTATTATATCGCTGTATTCCAGGTATAACACAAGCGGTTCAGAACTAATAATAATTTTATGACGAACGCCGGATAGAACCAATAATTCAGTTCTTTTTGTTCCTCCGAATCTTTTTAACTATTGTGCATGCGAAATCGTTACTGTTAGTTATAATTCGGTTTAGCATTCTTACCGCGAACTAAGCTAATGTATCATACTTAAGATTATTTTATTATTTGCCTCAGAGGTAAATTACAATACTTACATTTTTAGATACTTTGCTTGAATGTAAAAACGTAAAAATATAGAGACTTCACTATAGAACTTAATAATAAATGTATACGTAATTTGCTTCACATTGACAACATAGCTAAAACATCTGCTCTCGGTTGATCAGTTTGTTGCCATGTGTCTGAAAATTTGTTTTCTCTCGCTTTTTTACTATGCAATAAAACGGACACGTTTGAGTAACACTCCTTATAGAAAATATCAACGTCTATAATATTTCATTTGCAGAGGCAATAATCACTTGTGAGTCTAGTTCGTTAAACACCTACAATAAAATTTATAAAATTTAAAATTATAAATAAAATCATATTCCTTGCCAAAAATAACTCTCTGCCAAATTCGGCAACATTTTATAAACAAATTGTGAAATTATTACCATAAAGCGAAATAATTGTACTTTTTAATTTTCAGTATTTTATTAAAGAAAGTTGAATCAGATTTTAATATTTTGAGTCTACTCTTAAGCCATGGGCCATCATTTACGGACCATGCTGTATTTATTTGATAATGGGGTCATATATGGCTACTGGCGAACCAACTCTTTAAAAAATGGTAATGCGCCACTTTAATATCTCAGGTGGTGTGGAAATGTACTAAGAATAAAAGATCCTCACTTTAATTGAACAATTTGAAAATAAATAATTTTTGTATTAAATTAAAATGTTTACCTAGACATTAAAATTGCCTACCCCGTACCGAACATTTCTACAAGTTTTGGAGCGATATTACATTCCTGAAATTTTTTGCACTGTCCATTATTTTGTAAACGTATATAGACGAGTGTATGAGAATACGAGTATACGGCGAAATTTTCCCGTGATGGGCAAAAAAGTGGCCAGATCTGTATTTATTTATAGAGAAAGATGTTCATATTTTGTTAAGTATAACTTTGATAATGAATAAAAAACAGCAAATTGTATTGTTTTGAAATGTCGCTTTTATTATATTGAACTTATATAACATTTAAATTTCGTTTGAATTGCGTAGGAACAGTTGTAGAAAAAGTATAGTCATCAACGAGCAGTAATGACGGCATTAATTACTGTAGGGGTTGTGTTCACGAGCCTAGCTATATTTAAATTTTTTTTAGGGATACAATGGACAACACGACTACTCAGAAATATTGGATTGATGTGCAGCTCAGATGGGGAGATTATGATTCACATGACGTTGAAAGATATGCAAGGGCTAAATTTTTGGATTACACTACTGATAATATGTCCATTTATCCTTCACCTACTGGAGTACTAATAGCCATAGATTTAGCATACAATCTTCATAGGTAAAAAAGTTATATATAATTACCATTTTCATTTTAAAAATAAAATTAGTTATTATTTAGTTTATAGGATTTATAAATATATTTTTCTTGTAGTGCTTATGGTAACTGGTTCCCTGGTTGCAAACCTTTAATCCAACAAGCAATGGCAAAGATAATGAAAGCAAATCCAGCTCTCTATGTATTGAGAGAACGTATTCGTAAAGCCCTACAGTTATACTCTAGTGAACCTACGGAACCTTATTTATCATCTCAAAATTACGGAGAACTCTTTTCAAATCAAATTATTTGGTTCGTTGACGATACAAATGTATACAGAGTCACAATACATAAAACATTTGAAGGAAATTTGACCACAAAACCTATCAACGGGGCTATATTTATATTTAATCCCAGGACAGGACAGCTGTTTTTGAAAATTATTCATACTTCTGTATGGGCAGGTCAAAAACGTTTAGGACAGGTAAGAATCTTACTGTATAGAAAATGTCATTTATGCTTTATTCTGACTAAATATTAAATTGAATAGGACCAAAGTCTTAATTTCATCATATCTTCTTCCAACTCATGACTAACACCGGTCAACACGATTTTTGGGTCTGACTTCTGCATGTGAAATTTTTCTTTTCTCTTATGTTAAAGTTTGCTTTTGTAGAAACTAGAGCAATTTTTTTATAATTTATTATTATTATTTTTAATTCAAGAATTGTGATAAACAATAGCACATAAATGTAAAATAACAAAAAATGAAATTCAGAAATGAATATTTTTAGTAGTTGTCTTATTTTTGTATGTGCTCTCTCGTATTAAATCCCTAATGTAATCTCCCTTCATATTTTCGTTGTATTGCCCTTGGTAGGGTCCGATTATAATTAGAAGAACACAGCTACGTCATCATTTGACAAAGTAATTAATTGGTTATCGCCGCCTACGGTGGGGGGGGGGGGTTATATTATAGGAATATAGGAAATATTGTTTTATGCCTAACAACTCATTTATTTTTTATTTATTGATAGTTATTGATAATATGTATTCAAAAGTCGAAGTAATGGTTATAACGTAACGGTGTTCTTCTAATTGTAATTGGACCCTAACATTGTTCAAAGTTCATCTCATCTTGGTGAGTAGGCACTCATATTATTTTTAAATTGATCCAGGTGAGAATGTAGCATATGAAGTTTATGGGACATTCTGAACCCCACAATTTTAAATATTTTAAGCTTAGTTTCAATCGACTCTTTATAATTGTCAGCTCTGTTGTTACCAAGAAAACCATTAACTACTGCTTTAAGACTTGTTTTTCATGAGCATTGAGGAATTCTGTGAAATCTTCACTACCCATTTGTTTTATTTGAATCGCTTATTTGAGAAACCCCACATATCCAAAAATCAATATTTTAGGAAAAGCTGAAAAACTGTTTTATTTAAAAACCACTTGAACATCTATAAAGACAAGTACCTCAATATAAAGTATAGGTACTTGCTGTAAAGTTTTTAGCAAAACCGAAAAAAAATCTTTTGGTCTTGTGACAAAAAAAATAAAAATGGCAGTGGACATGTGTGGTTTCTCAAATATATACACAACTTTTTTTTAATTTGTTTTATTTGGTCAAAATAATAATAAATTCAATAAAAAAAAATAGTAATGAATCTGGTCAGTATTCAATAACATCATCATCGTCGCCACCAACAGTTGGCCATTCGAATATTTCTCGATAAAGTTTTCAATTTCTTCACCTTTTCCTACCATAAACATCTGAAACTTTTTAATATTCAAATTTTTTTTGCACTGATTGGGACTTTTGTATTAGGGTATGCAACGACTGTGGGAAAAGATCTGACAACAGTAGAACTTTCCAGCTTAAATTCGTGTTTCATTAGGCCATCAATAAAATTGCGAGCAGTCACAACACCTTTCTCCTTCTTGTTGTAGCTGAAGTGCATAAAATTGGAAATCAAAAAAGAAACCTTATCTTCCTTTTTAACACCCCTTCCGTAAGATGCTGTAGACAGATTTTTTTTGTAGTAAATGGGCCACCATTTTTTATAGTCTTTGATCACTGTATTTTCTTCATCTATTAGGTAAACCGAAATTTTTTTTAGGGCTTGAACTAAGAATCAACAAAACATAATCTTTTAGAAGGAAAACCCTGTCGTTTTTATTAAATTTCTTTTTACCATGGCAAAATCCCTGTCACAAGATATGTAGGAATGTCATCTTATGGTTAAATGCTGGTTCATTCTATGAAATCGTCCGAGGTCTGCAAGGCCTAAGCACATTCTAATAACTGAATGGTTCTTATTTTGACCCCCGCAGCCGTCCGAAAAAATATGAAAATGTTTAATGTTTGGTGATATTTCCCTGTTTATAAAATCCAGAGTGAAGGAGCAAACTTCATTTGGTCCTTTCGTGGTATACATAAAACATAGTTTTTCCAGTCTTAAGGTCGTGGATATTGAAAACAATGACACTTAGTTGATGTAGGTAAAATGTGTCTTGAACCGGAATAACAGGAAGGGCTCGATTTTTCATATAGTCAACGCAAATTGCCCCTATAGTGGCATCTGTTTGGCATAACTCTTGAATCGACTTCATCTTGTTATAGAATTTCTTGGCTCTTTGGTGGACAATTTTCTCCGCCACAGCTACACGTTTAGCAATGTCGTTTAGGGCCTTAGACTTAATTTTGTTGGAAAGTTCCTCACAGGTGCAGCAGGTATCGACCTGTGGTCTATCGAAAGACAAGCTAAAACTTTTCTTGAATATCTTGAGATAAAAGCTGTTCTTCACAGATAATTCGGGATTGTTTGTGAGAAATAATTCATGCATTTTCTTAATGTCCAGTTTTCCACTAAGGCATTGATAATCATGACTACCATAATGGGAGTTTTTAACAGGAAATAAACGAATATGTTCCTCTACTTGTCTGACCACCTCTTAGGGTTTTGAATCCCCTTGGGTATTTTGACCTCTCTTATCATGAAGTGATTTTCCCAATGACAATAAGTTAGCCAAGCGCCGAATACGGTCCACCGTAATCCCATGGATGCTAACAAAAGTGGTTTTTCAGACTATACTTTCCAGAACTGGAAGACGCGTAGTATTTATATGACATACTTTTTGGTTTTGCATTATTTTCAGCTACTCTAGGTCGTTTTCTTGAAACTTTTGAACACTCAATTAAAGTCTGCAAATTTACATCTTGTTCATTTTTGGTTGTTACAGAATAAAACTGATCAAAAATCTCTTGCCGATCACCTACGGGAATTTTAAGAAAACAGCGTGACCTACACCTAAAATTAAAAAACATTCACTACTTCAATCGACAAAAATAAAATTATTTCTCTTACTGACATGATTCACCGATTGTCCGTTCATTTACTTTAACGTCATATTCTTTGCATTTCGCACGTGCACGTTTAATCACTTAATTTTTATAGACAACTTGTTTTAGTCCTTTTTTGCGTTTTTTTAGAATAACTTCCACAGGAAGATCCTCCTCAGACGACGACATTGTTAAAACTAAGCATAAGCTCATGCAATAATAGGTATGCAACAGACATAATGCATCCCATTGGTCACCTAGGCATTAAGAGCCGTTTATTTGAGAAACACCGCATGTCCGGGTTTCTCAAATAAATACATATTTTAAACTAGCGCTAAAAGCATTATATGGATAGGACATGTGGGATTTCCTTTAAAAAAGATGTGTCTATTATAGAACATGTTAATCTAAAAAATTCAAAAATGTCAAATTTATGGACATGTGGGTTTTCTCAAATAAGTGATTCATTTGTGGTCCAATGAAAGTACTCGCTTTTACTTTAGCTTCAGATAATTTGGGAAAAATCCCTTTAAATATTCAAAAGCTTCAGAATTTGCATTCAGAGCTTTTACAAATTGCTTCATTAGGCCCACTTTTATATGTAACCGTGGCATCAGTATATTTTTAGGCTCTACAATTGGTTCCGATTCGACATTATGTTTTCCTATCTGAAATTCGAGTAGATCAGGCCATATACACTGCGTTGGTAATGTAATAAATCTACTTTGCTATCCCATAAGCAAAGGTGACAAGGGCATTTAGTATACCCACCTTGCATTCCCATCAGAAAACCAACCATCCAAAAATCGCCTACTACTGGCCAATTGTATTCTGTAAATTTGAACTTTTCCAATATCATATTAATATCATAACTTTCCTTAAGCATTGCGTGGCATTGTAGAATGTGCTACGGGAAGACTAGGGAATTGGTTTCTGTTGTGAAGAAGAAATGCTTTTAAGCTTCTAGAAGAGCTATCGATAAAAAGCCCCCAGTCAGAAGGTATGCATGGTATTCCGATTTCCTTGAATAAATCAGTCACGCTATTACAGTAACAAATTCCGGCTTCTTTGGTGAAAAAACACGAACACATTTTCCATCGTCTTCAACTAAATACCACTGTTTTAATCGTGAACTTAACCCTTAAGTTGGCAACGTATCCTACATACTGAGGTATCCATTTTCTATCTTGATTCCGGATTTTCAGATAATAAAAAGGCTTCAAATTTGTGGCCAAATCAAAATGTTTATTGCTTCTTACTTTAACAAATGCACCGCAAATAAAACAGAATGAGTCAACATCCTGTCTACATTATCTTGATGCCATTTTATAACTTGGTAACACACAAGAGCGGTTGTAAATACTCACTACTGTGCCCTTCACAAATAATATGCAATTTGCTATCGGGTTTATCAAAGTGCTACCATCTGTTGCTCATAAAATGAATGATATACTTTAAAACTTACTTATCGACGATAATCAAACAAGAGCAAACGTTAAAAACCAAAATTTAAGTGTTTTTTGATGTCTAGAATCAGAATTTAAGCTTTAGAACAGAAACATAATTTTTTTTTGTTGACTTGTGTAATTAATATATCGATATATTACCTATTATATATCTTGATCTATAAATAAATTATACATGTTTTGGTCGAATATGATAATTGATTTTAACATAATTGGAAAAGTTCTTAACAATTTTTCTGTTATTAGATATCTAAATCATCAACTATCATTATTTACTATATTGACTTACCTTTATGTTGTCATCCATTTTCAGTTAATTAGTAAAATAAAATGTTTTGTGTTATGTAGTTAGCAAAATGGAAGACTGCGGAAGAAGTTGCTGCTCTTATTCGGTCTCTACCAGTTGAAGAACAACCGAAACAAATTATCGTTACAAGAAAGGGCATGTTAGATCCTTTGGAAGTCCATTTACTCGACTTTCCCAACATTGTTATCAAGGGTTCAGAATTACAGTTGCCCTTCCAGGCTTGTTTAAAAATTGAAAAATTTGGTGATCTGATTTTGAAAGCTACTGAACCTCAGATGGTGTTGTTCAATCTTTACGATGATTGGTTGAAAACGATTTCTTCATACACAGTAAGATCTTATTTATTTTCTTAAAAATCTCATATTCAAATATCTATATTTTAAATATTCAAAATTAATCAGTTTACCATTTCTTATTATTTCATGATTGTTTTTAGGCTTTCTCCAGATTAATTTTAATCCTAAGGGCATTACATGTAAATACAGAGAGGACCAAAGTTATTTTGAAACCCGACAAGACTACGATAACGGAGCCTCATCATATTTGGCCAACATTATCCGATGATGAATGGATTAAGGTTGAAGTACAATTGAAAGATTTAATTCTTGCTGATTACGGAAAGAAAAACAAGTTAGTATGGTTTTGTTTATTATGCATAAAATAAATACACACCATATGAATATAACATTTATTAGATCTACTTTATTTATGTATTTAACATTAGTGATGGGTCGTTTGGAAATGTCCAGACATTTGTCCGATTTTCAAAAGTATAGTGCGAATTAAATTAAATCATTTGAGTGAATTTATTATAAACAAAGGCAAAATATAGTTTAAAAAATATAAATAGTTGATTTGTTTATTTAGATTGTGTTCGTCTTGTAACAGGCTGGGATATTTTTTCTTTTTATTTTTACAGAGATATTAGCATTGCAATAGGATTTTTGTTTCATTTAGTGTTTTAATGAATACATAAGTTGAGTTTTTGTGTTACCGTAATATATTTAACAATATTATTAAACAATATTTAAATTTAAAAGATTAATTTACAAGCTGTTATAAGTCAATCTTCACAGAAAAGCCCATGAAAAAGTTTAGCACCTTATCTCCGCTACATGGGCTTAAAAATCGCTATCTTAGCTAAATTCCGCTACAGTTGGCAACACTGAAACACTTATTATGTCCTACAAAGGGCGTACCAATTAGCTTGAATCAACGACGAAAAACTACTAGACCAATCATTCAGTTTGTGTTTATTATTGCGCAGACAGAGCTGCCATATTAGAAAGAAGACAGCTGCTAATTTGAGTGGGGATGGTTTGCACGATATGTTTATCTGAGGAGCAAGCATGCGTTTTATGAATGAATCAATATTTACTACGCTTACTTTACACTGCTGACACACTTAATTGTGTACTTTTCTGAAAAACACAACTATAATAGTTGCAACGAGAAAAATACATTAAGTTGATAATAACTAGCATTAAGAATGCAAATGTGTACTTAATGTAATTTTAAAAGTTTTTTGTGCTCTTTAGAGCCTTATGTTTAGTCAATACCAACATATAACCATAAACAATCTTTGTAATAATACTCTCCCATACTCAACTACGTGAATGACACCGTGAATGTGTGCAATTCCATTTTTGTAAATAAAATTAGTCTAGCAGTTGTTCTTCGTTGACTTGAATCAGTAATAGGTTCCATATTCGAGATTTATTCATGAAAAAAAAATTACCAAAAATAAAAACCAAATGTTGGAAGTATATAACATAATAAATGATTTGTCTACAAAACAAAAATACAAATCCATCTATTTGAAAATGCATCCAGGATGGAGAAACATTTAACATTGTGTCGTCTATGCTCAGGGAATATCAAAGATAAAGATTAAAATACTCAAAGAACAGGAAATAACTACAATTCTTCAACAACAAAGTATTTTTGAATGGAATACTTCTCCGGAAATGTCATGGACTTGTTCATCGAAATTATCCAAAAATTACTTTTACCTACGACCACTTAGGAAAGTGACACATATCACACTATATAGTCCTATGGAAAGTGCCCTATATCACACGCGTATGAATAAGAATTTACTTTCCACCCGAGTGAGAATATGTTACTTTCCGCAGTAGTTGTCACAAAATGTCAAACACCTAATTTCTATTTTGATCTATGTAATGTCCATATTAATACTAAAATCGATATGATTGTTAAATTATTGAAATCGTTGTAAATTAGATCCTAGATATTTATCTTTAACAATTATTATTAAAATAATTTTAAAATAATGTTTGCTCTTTATTCTGGTTAAATACATAACCGATTAGATCATTCAATTGACACAAGGGCTATTAGCTCAGGTGGTTAGGACGTCGAACTTATCAACTTTGCCATTTTTCGACCGCGTTCGAATCCTGGCGGGGCAGAATTTTTTTGTTTTTTTTTTATTTTTTTTTATTTTTTAGTTTTGTTTGTTTAGAAAATATGAAAATTGAATAAATATGATTATTGTTGATTATTTTTTTAAATACATTTTAATTATTATAGTAATAATAACCTTGGTTTACATTTTTTGGATGACATTATTTTGTGGTCGTAGGAAAAATATTGTACATCACTTGTGTGAAAAGTGATTTTCCACATTCGTGTGATAGTCGCACTCGGCTTGCGCCTCGTGCGACAATATTTCCCACTCGTGTGAAAAATGTCACTTTCCACACTCGTAATGTAATATACTATTCCGGAAAAGACCCATCACTATTTAACATATTAATAGTTAATTTTATAATAAAATAATTATGCATTAATTTTTAGATAGTTTACATAATTTCAATACAATAATTTTTTGTTTATTTTTTTAAGATTAAACACTTTTTATATCAGATTAAAGTCTTAAACTTTTTGCTCTTTTTAACAGTTAAACAGTTTCTAATTACAAGTTAGTTACAATAAAATACCTTCAATTCTGTCTGTAAATTTCAATATAGAAATTTCAGTTTTTCAGACTAATATCTTATATATTTTTATATCTTATGTATTATAATGGTACAATTACTTGAATAATATATTTTCTTTGCAAATTTGAAAAATTCTTTAACCTTTCAGTGTGAATGTTGCATCTTTAACTCAATCTGAGATTCGTGACATCATCCTTGGTATGGAAATCAGTGCCCCATCTGCCCAAAGACAACAAATCGCCGAAATTGAAAAGCAGACCAAAGAACAATCTCAATTAACGGCCACTACTACGAGAACTGTAAACAAACACGGCGACGAAATTATTACAAGCACCACAAGTAATTATGAAACACAAACGTTCAGCTCGAAAACAGAATGGAGGGTCAGAGCTATTTCTGCAACTAATTTGCATCTCAGAACAAATCATATTTACGTTAGTTCTGATGACATCAAGGAGACTGGTTATACTTATATTTTGCCAAAGAATGTCTTGAAGAAGTTTGTCACTATTTCAGATTTAAGAGCACAGGTAAGTTGTGTGCATCTCTTACATTATAATAACCTCATGTTTTCCCCTACAATTTTGAAAGAGAAAAAATAACTATACTGAAATCGCGATCGTTTACAAACTGAAGTCATTAAAATTATTTTGCATTTATGTGATTGTTGACAGTAATATTATGTTCAGCATGTAGTCAATCGAAAATACAAAAAATAGATTTTGTATAAAAAATGTTTAGATTATTTTTATCTTGAAATTAAATTATGTTTCATTAATTTAATTTTTTCAAATTCATTTTTGCATTGAAGCAGTAGAACTTCTGCTGCAGGTAAAATTTTATTTCGTATAATTTCATATAATCAACTTGCTACATTGAACAGAAGATTAGTTGAAATGCCTGACATTTGAATTTACAATGCAAACATCTGCAGCTCATTTTCGATGACTGAACTTGTGCCTGCTGTAGCGCTGGCCTTAAACTCATTTTATGATAAATTATAATGTAAAAGTCGCTACATTTGGCGAAATAGTTTTATATTTGTCAATCATGTGAACATGTGACATCCAACAAATCAATATAAGTTTATTGCCAAAGCTACAACAATTATAAATATAATTGTACATTACTAAAAATTACATGATTAAAGAAATGATAAATACAACAAAATAGCAATAATAATAATAATATAATATGTGTGCCTGTCCATTTTTTTTTTCTGTTCAAACCGTTAATTTAAAAGTCATTGTGAATTTCAGTCAAATTATAATTTCATTTTGTTAACAAAATATTCTTTAAATGTAATTTCTTTCGTCAATTTTATATATAAAAATAGCTTGATTTGTTTTTTGTATAATACAAGAAGTTTCAAGACTTCATGTCAAACAAAAAGTAGCTTACATGACTCAGATTATTCACTTCACATAATAATCAATTGCTCTCTTTTGCAGATAAAAAAACTGTATTGAACAATTCATGGCTAAACTCTTTCCAAAATGCAATTCCATGTCTTAAATGAGATTCAACTAGAGCATAATATACACTTCTATCTGGTTGCAAACCTAATTTTTTTACAGTTCTGACTGCAAAATGTCCAGAAGAAAGTTTTATATTTATCAATTCTGTATGATTCTTAAATGTCAAATTATTGTCTAAATTTTATTGCATAGGTACACTCAATATTATGACTTTCTAACTGAATATTTGGTAGAGAACATTTAAGGATTTAGTCTTTTCCATATTTAGACACAAATAGTTGGCATTGCACCACACTTTGATTTTCTTAATGTTACACGATATGGTGTTATTAAGAATGCAGGTGATTGCTGTGCCATAAAATCGTAGTGTCATCAGCAGATAGATAGATTTATTGATGCAAATTACAAATATTTTACATGTCAGTGTGCTATTTAGTAAATCGTACTCAGTTTGCATAGCTTAATGGGTTTAAGTCTGTCAAATTTGCTGCAACATCTGAAGTTCCTCAGGGTTCCAATCTGGGCCCGTTACTATTTAATATTTTCATCAAAGATATCTCCAATGTAATTAAAGAGCAGTTTCTACTGTATGCAGATGATTTGAAGTTATGTGACAAGTATTGACGACTGTGAATAACTTTACATGAACCTAAATCTAGTGGTTGAATGGAGTAATAATAATAAACTTGAACTTAACCCAATTAAATGTAAAGTTTTCTTTTACTTTAAAAACTGACTAAATAAAATATAATTATTTAATAGATAATGTCTAACTTCAGCGACCTGATACTTTTACAGATCTTGGAGTAATTTTTGATCCCGCATTGATGTCACATTGATAAAATTATTGAAATATCGTATGTATGGTTTTATGTATATGGTTTTATGTTTAGATAAAAATAAATATTACTGGTTTTCGAAAGTTGAAAATTCATTAATGATTAATGGCTATAATTTTTTTATTTCTAAGTATAATTTTACTCAATTCGGTGTTCATTTTTGTTGTCGTAAGATACACCAATCAGCAAAAAATCGGTTAAATAAACTTTGCCAGTGGCTTACTGCATGGGTAACACCTTCATCGCTTCTAAATTATACACCTCTTTAAACTCTTTAGACTATAATTTTAAATTTTTTTGATGTTTTTTTTTTTTAAATAAATCATGTACTCTTGTAGGAATTTATAAAAAATTCAAAATTACAAAATAAAAAAATAAATTAAAATGAAGAATATCCGCCTTTGAGTGTGTGAATATCTCGAAAACCAATCACTTTATGAGTTCCCAATAAACGTACAAAATTTATTTAAATATATAAAAAAATTAAATTATGGTCTAAATAAGTTTTTGGACAGTAGCATAAAATTTAGAGGGGATGAAGGTGTTACTTATCGATGTTGTACGCCACTGGCAAAGTTTAATTAACTGATTTTTTTGCTCATAGAATTATCTTATAACATCAAAAATGTTTGCCGAATTTAGTAAAATTAAAAAAATATATATATAATAATGTTTGAATATTCAACTTTAACACCCTTGTTAGCATATTTCGTTTATATTGCACGGGCGTAAGAGCTCAGAGCTTTGATGGCTTCTTGGTTATCGGACATGATGATAATCTCTTGTCTAGGGTAGTTTCTCTCGAAATATTAAACTAGATACACTTCTCAATGGCGTGAATTTCCGCCTGGAAGATGCTTGGGTATTTTCCCATACTTTTAGTGTGCCAGATTCTAGGCCCATATACTCCTATTCCAGTTCTTTCTATGGTTGTAAGCATGATGGATTTTTGGTTCTATTTTTTCTTGTAGCCCAGCTCTGTGATTTTATGTTATGTTACATGGATTACTTTTAAATAATCTAAAGGACCAATAGGAGATTTCAAATTACCAGTTACAGTCAATATAATTCGTAACTGATTTAGAATATCGTTTGTTTTTATATCAATAATACTCTTTAACCTTATTATTTGAATTTTCAATTCTAAAATAATAGTATGTACCATTAACTTTTTTAATAACATCTCCACATATTTTTCTCTACAGTTTTTTTTACCAAAAATATAAAAATCAAAGCTAATGGGATGTAAAAAATAGTCTTGGAAGATCACATTAAAAATGCAATTCGCCGAAAAATACATTCATTTTATTTTTGAAACAAAATTGCAATGTTAAAAAAATCTGGATTGAATTACAAAACGGTTATACAGAGTTTTCCAAAATATCGCTAAATGCTTTAATTCTGAGTATGAAAAACAAGCAGATTTGGCTAAATTTAAAGAACATAATTATGTTATAAAGATGCATAAACGTGTATATTTATAATTAGTCGCTTACGAAATCGCAAAAGAAATGGGTTTTACGGTTTTAAGAGTTCCACACCATACCATTGTGAACTAAACCCAATTTAATTAGATTGGGCCCTAATAAAAAGAGATCACGTTTAAAAATAAGACTTTAAAATTTCTTTGAAACAAAGTAGTAGGTGCTGCTACAGTGGAAGTATGATTTAAGTGTATACAACAAACTTTAGATAAAAATATTGATATAATCTGTTGGACTCTTATAGTAATGTTTCAGATGATGATTCAACTTCTGAAGCTGATAATTCTTTATTTGATTAGGTTTATTTTGGTTTCAGCCGCTTCAATAAACAACTTTTTCAATAGAATACTTTTTTTTTATTAAGATGTTTTCTTGAGAATTTCTTTTAATTTTTGTTTGTTTTCAAAATATATTTTTATTGATAATTTACTAATTTAATGTAATTGGGTTATATAGTTACTGGCGAACCATCTTGTAAAAAATTATAATGCGCCTCGGTAATATATCAGAGGTGCTTTTTAACATTAAAATATTTTATCAAATCCTAAAAAAAATATATTACACGCCACTTAATTGTTCCCCTTTCCCTGTTCGACCACGAGGCTGCACACATTTATTGTCAGTGACGGACATCAGTTTGCAAATGATCGGTACTGAAATATAATTTGATCCAATTACCAAAAAAACAAACTGCATTCAATGTTCTAAAAGTATGTTTTATTTTTTAGATTTGCGCATTTTTATACGGAGTTAGCCCTCCTGACAATCCTCAAGTGAAGGAATTGCGTTGCTTGGTTCTAGCACCACAATGGGGAACTCATCAAACAGTGCACATCCCCAACACCCCACCCAATCATCCTTTCCTTAAAGACATGGAACCTTTGGGATGGATTCACACTCAACCAAATGAACTTCCTCAATTGTCTCCTCAAGATATTACAACCCATGCTAAGTTAATGTCTGATAATCCCTCATGGGATGGAGAGAAGACCATCATTATTACATGCTCTTTTACACCAGGTTCTTGTTCTTTGACTGCCTATAAATTGACACCTTCTGGATTTGAATGGGGAAGACAAAACACTGACAAAGGAAATAATCCAAAAGGATATTTGCCTAGTCATTACGAAAAGGTGCAGATGTTGCTGTCAGATCGCTTCTTAGGTTTCTTTATGGTTCCCACACAAGGCTCTTGGAATTACAATTTTATGGGTAAGCAATTTTATTGTTTAATTACCAAATTATTAACGGGCTTGAGTTCTATTTAATTTACATTTATTTTAGGTGTACGTCACGATCCAAGCATGAAGTACGAATTACAATTGGCGAATCCAAAGGAGTTTTATCATGAAGTTCACAGACCGGCGCATTTCCTTAATTTTTCATCTTTGGAGGATGGTGATGGCGCAGGAGCTGACAGAGAAGATGCTTTCGCATAAGATTAATTTTTAATTTAAAATATTGATAGTTTTTCGGTTTGTAAATAAATTGTTTTATATTATTTTAGAATATGAAATACACGTTTCTAAGACATGTCGTTTGTTTTGCATTAAAATGATGTTGAATCTCAGAAAATGATTTTTATAAATGTCGTTCCAGAATTTAATCTAAATCACAACTGATTTTTTTTAAATATTATGTTTATTGGAATTGTAAAATTGTCTTCTTAATCATCATTGGTTTTATGGTTCCTGGAGGAACTTCTTTTAAATTTAAACATTGGTTGATGGGTTCAATGCAGAGATAACAGGAGATATAGCTATTTATTGGTAAAATATAATCGTGATGCAAACATCGATACTACAGTCGATCCGGTCCAGTTGTAGATCAGAAGTGAAGAGACATGTGGTGAGAGGGAAGGGATAAACTAAAGGATTTGACGGTCTGACCACACAATTTTATCTATGAATAGCTTAGGTTGAAAATGAGTGGAATGATCTCATCGCCTTGCACTGCGATCCACATGGATCTATTGTGACTCATGACTCTTATAGTTCACTGTACAAACTACATCTTTCGATGAAGGCCATAATCGTATTGGGTGATAATCTCCAGTCGGTTGAATTCGATGATCTCGAGCCCGGTTTTGTCCAAAGCGGAACATGTACATAAAATGTGTTGTGCAGATTCATTTTCTACGCTGCGGAATCGACAGTTCGATGTTATAGATCTATCCTTTTCATAAGGTTACCCAGATGACAATGTCCTGTCACCAGTCTCGTCCCTTGAAAATGCGTAGATATTTCCTACTACATTCTCGGATCTGAGCAGAGGCGTTCATAGAAAGGTTGGTTATAAATGCCATCGAATGAGTTAGAGATACCCCAGGGACCTCTCCAGTTCATGAGTGTTGCACCCTCCGTCCATGCAATGCCCAGGAATGGTTCTGGTTCTATGTACTCAGATTCGGTTCCTCTTTTAGCGAGCGCGTTGGCTTTTTCATTGTCCACATCGCTGTGTCCTGGGACCCATATCAAAGTAACTTTATTCTGAGCACCCAGACATTCAAGGGTATTTATAAAGTTCCAAACCAAAATGCTACAACATTTACTTGGTACATATTTTATTTTAATTTTGAACCCTTTTAAAAGCAGGGTCTTTCGGTTCCATAATAAAAATTAGTCGCTTGAGTCAACTCGATTGGAGCTCAGGACCTTGAGTGCTGCCTGGCTATCTGAAAAGATCTTTATAGTCTTGTTTGCAGGGAGAAAATGAATCAACGCATAGATTTATGGATGTCAACTCTTGGCTTCTGGCCGAAAACTCCGGTTCCTACTCCTTTTTCAGTTTTGGAGCCGTCCGCCTGGGAGGGGTGTTTATTCCCCCTGCTCCATACGTCTCTCTATGGAATGAGGACATGGCTGTGTTGTCGGGGAACTAGTAAGTCTGCAACCATGCCAAGGATGTGGAGGTTATTAATTTCACTCATCAGTCCCGTCTTGTCTCATTGCAATTCTTCGTTGCATTGACTATCCCCTTCAGGAGTCTATTAGATCATCCTGGCCTGCCTTTCCAGCAAAATGTGAAGAGAGGTTAGGTCCAACATGGTCTCCATGGCTTTCGTCGGTTTGGTTGACATTGCCCCAGTGACGGTGAGGTACGCAAGCCGCTGAATTCCCGCCAGCTTTGCTCTAGGCGTTCGTTGAAGTCTCTTGTCCCACCAGAATCAGACGACGAAGCCGTACGTAACCATGGGTTTCTCCACTATTTGGTAAATCCGGTAGATCAATTTGGGACTATGATCACCCATGAGTTGCGCGCATATCCTTCTGAGGGTCCAAAGGGACCCTAATAACACCGATCTGCAAGAAACATCCCATTTACGCTCTATGTATGTTTCTGACATAATTGGAACGTTCCTACGATGTTTCTAAAGAAACGTTTATGGAATGATATCTCAAAAACATTTTAGAAACATCCTAGGTATTCTATTTTCGTTTTAAATATTAATAAACTATAAAATCACTGCATTCACCAGAAATCTACAATATTATTAAACGCCAATATTAAATTTTAACATTATGAACTTTATATTTTACAAGACAACTTTTGCAGGTCAAATTTATCTTTATTAGTTCCTTCAAAAAAAAGAGTGCAAATACGACAAAGTTGTATACACACCCTTCTGGCTCATCAGAAGAGTTCGGTTAATCCTCTGCGAGCTAAAAAAGACTATTGACAGAAGCCCTCGTGATTTAATCTATTTTTTAGATTGAAAGTGTAGCACCGAGCTACAGTACTTATGAAAATATCGTTCCATTTATACAAATTGTATGGATGCAATATAGAAATACTATAGAAAGCCGATTCCATATATCAAAAATGAAACCATAAGGAGAAAATAGTGTGTCAGGGTTCATGTGTATAAGGGTGCTGGCTCGAACAGGACCGGTGCAAGTTTTTTATTGATCGAACAAATAGTTTACACGATGTTTCAGTAATACATTTTTAGAGATGATTCTATATAGAAAACGATGAAAAAAATGCAAGTAAGGTAAATATGGTTCTGAAAGTCCTTATTAAGAAAGATATGAATTAGTTAATTTTCGGCAATCATTAGTACTGTAGTCACGAAATTTTGCTTGTGATTTGACATTTTATTTGATTTAGTATCATTTGCTACAACTAAATTTAATCTAGGGAGTGCAAAATAGGGGGCAGTTGCTTTTCGCCCAGGAATATTATGTTCGATATTTTTTTACATTTTGTCATCCGAGACTATGAGTCGTTACTTACAATTATACAGAAAACCTTTCATGTTACCATTTCCAATATAAATTAAAAAATGCTACATTTACTTGGTACATATTTTATTTTATTTTGAACCCTTTTAAAAGCAAGGTCTTTCGGTTCCATAATAAAAATTAGTCGCTGCTTACTAGAAACATTCTATATAGTCTAAACCAATTTATGAATTGTTTTCGATCAATTTATACAAAGATTTAAAGTTTTTAGTCGATGATAACATTCCACATCAGTACATTGCAAACCTATTTTATAGATAATAAGATTAAACTTGTAAATTATTAATTTGGTAGTTATTTCACTTATATGATTTTTTTTGTTTATATATTTTGGCCTTACAATACGATGCGTTTTGTATCCAACACTTTTTTTATTGAACGATGAATATTGACAGGCGTGTACCTTTTTCGGAACAAGAGACGCTTTAACGACGGAAATGATTTTCGAACTATCCAGTTAGTTTTCGGAAACCTAGAAAACGTTTGAAAAAAGTCGTCAATAACAGCGTGTCGTTCATGTGTTTCATTTTAATCAGCTTTCATTCTAAATTGCATAGAATATTCTTCCGATTCAAAATCGAGATTTTCGATATTTCCACAGTTTATTTATAATACTTTCTAAACTGGTTTTATCTTTTATTTTATATACTTTATAATATATGTTCACGCCCTACTTTGCACTTTATTAACAATTTTTTTTAACATACTTCAAAACATGAGAATATTCTCAATCCATTGAAACATTTGGGATGGGATCCATGAGAAAATCATTAACATCTTTATTTTTAAAGTAGGTTTTATAAAATTTCTTTAAACCGTACTGGTTCGAACGCGGTAAGGAATGAAGAAATGTAAATAATTATGTGCCAGCCAAAAAGCGAAGAGGAAGTACCGATTAAAATATCAAGTGACAGAAGAGTTTCTAAGTTCGTTGAGATCGGGTTTATGTTTTATAGTGCCTTAAAACCCGCATTTGAAAGTATACCATGCCAATTCCGCCAGTGACGTCACAAATGTTAGGTAAAGGTACTTAATAAGGTTAATTTTTAGTTTCTACATTTGAAAATATACCCAATGCCAACTCGGCCAGTGATGCCATAAATGTTAGGTAAAGGTACAATTTCATTTTAAAATTCTTTATTTTAAATTATACCCGACTGAAACAAGGTCTCTGACGTCATGAGCGTTGTGTATATAAAGGTATATATTCCAAATAAGCAACATTTCATGTTCCATCGCTATGAGAAATAATAAAAGTGGCATTTCATTTAAAATAAAACGGAAATAACTGTCAGAATATATTGGATGAAAAGATCATAGCCTGCTTACTATTTTTAACAATTATTAACAAAAAAATCATTCATTATTTTGTCTGATATCGATAATGTCTCCCCGTCGCTGGGCAGCCTGTATATAAATATACAGCTCTCTATTTACATAATTATAATTCTTAGGTAGGTTTAGATTTCCAGACATAAATCTTGTAAATATAACAGCTGCTAAATACATTGATTACATTTTTATTAGCCAATGTAAAAATGTCTTCAGATTAAAACAAGAAAACCAACAATTCCGAAGCAGAAGCGGATAATTAAAACGCACCTATTAAAAATATTGCGCCAAGATGTAGGCAATACGTAATAAGGGTTCAAAATGGCGGAGTTTTCTATCTCCTTTTAAAAGGCACTCAAAGCTGCGCAGTGCGACCATCAGAGATAACCAGGAGATGTAACTACTAACAAATATCGTGCGGCCGTGAATAAGACATATTCTAAGGGACACAGTAGGACATAATATCCGCTGTTGTCTTTATTAGTAAAGTGTATGTATTAAAATATTCGCTCAAGAAAACGATTCACTTCCCACTCTTTTGTCACAAGGCTGAATTTTTCACAGATGAAAGGTCATGATAAGGTAACCCTTATTCCGGAGTTAATACAAAATTAGAATGTGCAGAAGGGCATTATCATCAAAAATGCAGATATTGATACCACCGAATAGAGAAAAAAATACTCATTTTTTGATCAAATGCACAATAAAATCTTTGTAGGGAGTAATTGTTCATACTTATTTAAAAAAAATCATTTACATTAGCACTTACGGCCGAAAAAAAATATAAACGTAAATATCTTGGTTTTAGCCCTTCAAAAATTTAGTTAAAAAGTCGTCTTTTTTAAATATACCACTCATTTAACAAAAAACGAAGGCCTAAATGAAAAAAAAACATTCTTTATAAAATTTTTGCTTATGTGTTGACAAGGTAACAGAGTAAACACCATATTTTTTGCTTTTGAATTAACAAAGATATAACAATAAACGATGAGAGATGTCATACGTTTATGCTGTT